GAGAGGTCTAGACTTAGTTATATAGAGGTCGCTACTTGATTATTGAGAGGTCTAGACTTGGTTATATAGAAATCCCTACTTGATCATTTACAGGTCTAGACTTAGTTATATAGAGGTCGCTACTTGATCATTTACAGGTCTAGACTTGGTTATATATAGAGGTCGCTACTTGATTATTTATAGGTCTAGACTTGGTTATATAGAGGTCGCTACTTGATTATTTATAGGTCTAGACTTGGTTATATATAGAGGTCGCTACTTGATTATTTACAGGTCTAGACTTGGTTATATAGAGGTCGCTACTTGATTATTTACAGGTCTAGACTTGGTTATATAGAGGTCGCTACTTGATTATTTATAGGTCTAGACTTGGTTATATATAGAGGTCGCTACTTGATTATTTACAGGTCTAGACTTGGTAATATAGAGGTTGCTACATGATTATTGAGAGGTCTAGACTTGGTTATATATAGAGGTCGCTACTTGATTACTTAGTTTGGTTTGGTTGGTTTGTTGTTTAACGCCGCACTCAGCAATATTCCAGCTATATGACAGCGGTCTGTAAATAATTGAGTCTGGACCAGACAATCCAGTGATTGACATCATGCGCATCGATCCACGCAATTGGGATCGATGAGATGCATCAACCAAGTCAGCGAGCCTGACCACCCGATCCCATTAGTAGTCTCTTACGACAAGCATAGTCGCCTTTTACGGCAAGCATGGGTTGCTGAAGATCCATTCTTCCCCGGATCTTCACGGGTCACTTGATTATTTACAGGTCTAGACTTGGTTATATAGAGGTCACTACTGGATTATTGAGAGGTCTAGACTTGCTTATATAAAGTTCGCTATTGATTATTTAAAGGTCTAGATTCGATTATACAGAGGTCGCTATCTGATTACTAACATGTGGGCTTAAACAATATAACTCAGATCACTGTCTGACTGATCATACATGTATCATCATATTGTCCAATGATGAGATTATGTGATAACCTGTATGATGTCTCAATCACAATCTACAGGCTGTATGTGGTGGAAGATCTCCTGCAGGTGGCAGCCTTCTGTGAAACCTTCTACACAAGACTGTCTCCCACTCACAGGTAGGTCGAAACTCACAATAGGTCAAAACTCACAGGTAGGTCGACACTCACAGGTAGGTAGACACTCACAGGTAGGTAGACACTAACAATAGGTCGACACTCACAGGTAGGTAGACACTCACAGGTAGGTTGACACTCACATGTAGGCCGACACTCAAGTGTAGGTTGACACTCACTGATAGGTCGACACTCACAGTTAGGTCGGCACTCACAGGTAGGTCAACACTCACAAGTAAGTTGACACTCACAATAGGTCGAAACTCACGGGCAGGTCGGCACTCAAGAGTAGGTTGACACTCACAGGTAGGTCAAAACTCGAGTAGGTTGACACTCACAGATAGGTCGAAACTCACAGGTAGGTCTACGCTCACAAGTAGATCAACCGTCATGGGCAGATCTACACTCACAGGCATCCCAGCATCACCATGGTAACCACCCTAACAAATGGGTCATGCACAGTAATCCTGTGTGTTGTGACCTCATCACCTGACTTCCCTTGTCACCTCATTCTCTTGCTCATCACCACCCTGTGGAGACGGCTGTTGAGTTGAAGAGCATACACTTTTGTTTTTTTCCTACAATTTGCTACTATAAGCTACCTCCACACTCATGGTATATATGAACTTATATCTGCTGTACATCATACAGGAGCACCAGTTAGTGGTGTATCACCTTATATCTGCTGTACATCATACAGTAGCACCAGTTAGTGGTGTGCCACCTTGTATCTGCTGTTTGTCATACAGTGGTACCAGTTAGTGGAGTATCACCTTATATCTGCTGTATGTCATACAGTGGTACCAGTTAGTGGAGTATCACCTTATATCTGCTGTACATCATACAGGAGCACCAGTTAGTAGTGTTTCACCTTATATCTGCTGTATGTCATACAGGAGCACCAGTTAGTGGTGTATCACCTTATATCTGCTGTATGTCATACAGGAGCACCAGTTAGTGGTGTATCACCTTATATCTGCTGTATGTCATACAGGAGCACCAGTTAGTGGTGTATCACCTTATATCTGCTGTACATCATACAGGAGCACCAGTTAGTGGAGTATCACCTTATATCTGCTGTACATCATACAGGAGCACCAGCTAGTGGTGTATCACCTTATATCTGCTGTATGTCATACAGGAGCACCAGTTAGTGGTGTATCACCTTATATCTGCTGTATGTCATACAGGTGTACCAGTTAGTGGTGTATCACCTTATATCTGCTGTACGTCATACAGGAGCACCAGTAAGTGGTATATCACCATATATCTGCTGTATGTCATACAGGAGCACCGGTTAGTGGTGTATCACCTTACATCATGTATATCTTCTGTATGTCATACAGGAGTACCAGTTAGTGGTGTATCACCTGATATCTGCTGTATGTCATACAGGTGTACCAGTTAGTGGTGTATCACCTTATATCTGCTGTACGTCATACAGGAGCACCAGTTAGTGGTGTATCACCATATATCTGCTGTATGTCATACAGGAGCACCAGTTAGTGGTGTATCACCTTATATCTGCTGTATGTCATACAGGAGCACAAGTTAGTGGTGTATCACCTTATATCTGTTGCTGTAGGTTGTTTGTCGTGGAGGTTGTGATCGGAATGTTGAAGAGGGTGGAGTGTGATACGTCAACGGAGAAGCTGCATGTTGTAGCGATGGAGAACTTGCTGTACCTGGGGAGAGAGGTGAAGACGTACAGCCATCAAATCCTACAGGCAGGACTCCAGGACTCTCACGACTCGCAGGTGAGGTGTCGCTCGTCTGGTGTTGCCAGAAGAGGGCCATTTCTAGAGGTGTTAACTTGTGAGTGAGTGAATAAGTTTGGTTTAACGCCACTTTTAACAGTATTCTAGTTATATCGTGGCATGTCAGCTTAATGTTGGAGGAAAGCCTGACGTTTACCACTTAGGTGAAACCCACGAACAATGGTATGGTGCTGACAAACCTGGAAACATAATTGGGGCGAACCAGGATTCGAACCCACAATCATCATCTTCCCTAGGCAATTTAGTTCACTGACTATAAAAGTCCAGTTTCCACCCTTGCCGAACTAGGCTGGTATTATGGAGTTAGAGTTTGGTTGGACTAACAAGTCTATGTATAGTCCAATCAAAATCGCACAACAAAATCGAAATCCGGCTTGTAAACTGTCATGCAGATTTCGGTCGATTGCAGGATTTGCAAAGCATGTGCACCGCCAACTCGTTGTCAACAGATATTTTCAAACTCTTTTTATGTTTTTAATCAAGGTGCTCACGTGATTTGATGCATTTCACGATGTAAGACCCGTTTTGTCACAATATAGAGCTTGATTATCGCGCAGATCGTCCTGACTTGGTGCCGCCATTTTGTTTGAAGCAAATGCAAGGAGAGGCTTAGAAGGGACATAACTGGTAATAGCCACTGGTGGCGCTACGATCGAGCCCAGGAATTCCAGCCTAGTTCGGCAGGGGTGGAAAGTGGACTTTTAAAGTCTCTTGCCTCGGGAAGATGACAATCATAGGTTTCTGGCGTGCCCAAGGGACGTGTTAACTTGTGAATGGGTGTGTGAAATAGTCTTTGTCTCCTCGGCTGTGAACTGATGTGTGGAAATATCCCCTGACACATGCTTGTCCCCTCCAGACTTCCCTGCTGCTGGTGAAGATCCTTGAAGCTCTTGGAGCTGCCACGTCCTTGCACTCCCTGTATGGAAGTCTGCAGAACGACTCCGACCTCCTCGTGTGCTGCATCAGTAAGTGCAGGAACCATCTCAACTGCAACAGATTTATAAATATCCCAAACTGGCCTCCATAGGCTTGCGCTAGTCAATAAATGTATAAATCTCCTTGGCAAGTCTCCAAGTTTTGAAAGTCTATCAACTCATGTAGATACATTGATATCCAAAGACACTCGAGTGAGGTGTTGCATGTCTCCTCACTAATTGAATTGAAGGAACTCAACTTCCCTTTTTCCTTGGCACTGCACTGTGTGTGTTGCAACCATCCAGAAATACTTTTGAAAAACTGTTACCATCATTCCCAGTGACATTTGGGGTCTGGGACCCGTTCCACAAAGTGATCTTAGCACCATGACTACTGTAAGTCTATGTAAAAGTATGGGAGTTACGATCATCTCCTCACTAACATCGCTTTGTGAAACGAGCCCCTGGACCCATGAACATTCGGGTAGAATAGGTCTTCATCAACCCATGCTTGTCGTAAGAGGCAGCTACGCTTGTCGTAAGAGGCAACTAACGGGATCAGGTGGCCACTCGCTGACTTGGTTGATCCCACTTGCGTAGATCAATGCTCATGATGTCAAACACTGGATTGTCTGGTCGAGACTTGATAATTTACAAAACTCTGTCATATAGCTGGAATATTGCAGTGTTAAACAACAAACAAACATAAAACCATAGGGGTCTGGAACATATTTTGAAGCTACACTTAATAAAATGTGTGACTGTACCAATTCGATTTTAGTAAGCTGGCAAAATGAGTGATGGAAGAAATGAGGCTGCCATCCACGTTTTGTAGCTTTTTAAACTAGTTTCATTAATTAACTTCAAATTGCACCCTTTTTACAACGGTTGTGATCTCTATGTTGAGACACATTCAGTATTCAGGGATGAGCAATGATACTCGGAGTGAAAACTTAGATGGTACTTGAGATTCAGGGGAGGAGGGGGACGGCACTCTCATGAAAATTATGAATGAATATTTAGCTTTCTTAGCTATGCTGTATGTAACCTAGTTGAACTCAGACCAACCACTGGTAGTAGATCATGCTTACAGAGTGTGGGAGATGTAGGATTGGAGGATATGCCCATCCATGACAGATGTTTTCTCCTTGTAGACTTGCTCCACGGCATACATGAAATTGGCCGACAAGGTGGCAACCATTTCACAGCTGTAGAGAAGATGACTGAGTCAGACCAGATAGATCCACATCACCCAGCCTTTGGGCTGAAGAGAGATCTCATACGTCTCCTCGCAAACATGGTGTTCCATCACAAAGTCAACCAGGACAAGGTAGGGTTTTCAAGAAGAGAGACCTCTGGTCTACATGAGTCAGGTGGTGTTATGAAGGAGATACCTTGTTGGTTAATGGGAGTAATGTAGGGTTATCAAGAAGAGAGACCTCTGGTCTATTGGAGTAAGGTAGGGTTATCAAGAAGACAGACCTCTGGTCAATTGGAGTAAGGTAGAGTTATCAAGAAGAGAGACCTCTGGTCTGTTGGAGTAAGGTATGGTTATCAAGAAGAGAGACCTCTGGTCAATTGGAGTAAGGTAGAGTTATCAAGAAGAGAGACCTCTGGTCAATTGGAGTAAGGTAGAGTTATCAAGAAGAGAGACCTCTGGTCTGTTGGAGTAAGGTATGGTTATAAAGAAGACAGACCTCTGGTCAATTGGAGTAAGGTAGAGTTATCAAGAAGAGAGACCTCTCTGGTCAATTGGAGTATGGTTGGGTTATCAAGAAGAAAGACATCTCTGGTCAATTGGAGTAAGGTATGGTTATCAAGGAGAGAGACCTCTGGTCAATTGGAGTATGGTAGGGTTATCAAGAAGAAAGACCTCTGGTCAATTGGAGTAAGGTAGAGTTGTCAAGAAGAGAGACCTCTGGTCAATTGGAGTAAGGTAGAGTTATCAAGAAGAGAGACCTCTCTGGTCAATTGGAGTATGGTTGGGTTATCAAGGAGAGAGACCTCTGGTTAGTTGGAGTAAGGTGTGGTTATCAAGAAGACAGACCTCTGGTCAACAGGTGTAAGGTAGGGTTATGAAGAAGAGAGACCTCTGGTCAATTGGAGTAAGGTAGGGTTATCAATAAGACAGACCTCTGGTCAACAGGTGTAAGGTAGGGTTATGAAGAAGAGAGACCTCTGGTCAATTGGAGCAAGGTCGGGTTATCAAGAAAGAGATCTTCTATCAACATGGTTTGAAAGGTTCAGTGGTGGAAGTATGTGCTGTCACTGTTTGATTCTCCAGGTCTAAGTAAGTACACTTGTAATACTTCATGTCTAGAACTTCAATTATATCCCCTGTAGTTGGTAGTATGGTTATTTTGAAGATTCTTCTGAAGTGAAAGACTGCAAGGAAAAATTAACTAACAATTAACTTACAATAGTATTCTTTTGTTGCAGGTTCGGGAACTGGATGGTATTGCTTTAATCCTTGACCAGTCAAACATGGATGGAAAAAACCCTTGTATCCTCCACAGATGTCAGTCATGTGTGTGTGGGGTGTGTGTGTGTGTGTGTTTGTGCGCGTGTGTACGGGAGGGGGGGGGGGGGGTAAAGGGGGCTTAATGTATGTGTGTGGGTGTGTGTGGGTGTTTATAGTATGTGTATGCCCATATATGAACTGTGCAACTGATCAACCACACACTTATAACATATATTAGAGATTACTTTCGGATAAGCCTACTCATATGGCTGGATGATATTGAAGGTCAAGGTTACAAACGATAGTGTGCAGGATAACACAATTATGTATGTCAAAAGTTACTGATGAAACATGGCTGAAATTTCCTAAAATGTCTGATTAATTCATGAAATGCATTTTCCACTCGCCTATGGATGACATTGAAGGTCACCGTCAGTAAGTCTCCAATTGTGCTGTAGATGTCTCACACTATATCTTGAGCTTTTGTAACTGAAATTTGACAAGACTCTATACAAATGAGAGTGGGGTGGATGGTAACTTCTAATGAAGGTCAAGGTAGCATCAGTACATCTAGGCTATACCCATGCTCGTTTGTTTCACCAAAGTGGTAAATGTCTGAAGATCTGCATCACTTTGGGCTTTCCTCCACATTAAGCTGACATGTCTAGATATAACTGTTCAAAGCTGTGTTAAACCCAACTCACTCACTCACTTAGTACACCTATGGAGCTTCAGTCCACCTAGGTGTCATCAGTCCATCTAGGGGTCATCAGTCAATCTAGGTGTCATCAGTCCATCTAGGGGTCATCAGTCCAATTCACTCTTACTCTATGCCTCAATTACTTTGTCTTGCCAATCATCGCTGAAAGTTATGTTCCTGAGCAGGGCAAGTTATCACACAGTGGGTTGTGCTGGCGATTCGGAACCTGTGTGAGGACAACGCAGACAACAAGCAGTACCTGGCTGGGCTGAGACTGGAGGGACTCGCCAACAACGTCACGATGCTCCAGGAGTTCGGGGTGAAGGCAGAGCTACAGGGGGACAAGATCGTGGTCAGACGTCCTGATGAGGATGCTCAAGGAGATAGGGGTGAAGGCGGAGCTTCAGGGGGACAAGATCGTGGTCAGACGTCCTGATGAGGATGCTCCAGGAGATAGGGGTGAAGGTGGAGCTTCAGGGGGACAAGATTGGGGTGAAGGCAGAGCTACAGGGAGACAAGATCGAGGTGAAGGCAGAGCTACAGGGAGACAAGATCGGGGTGAAGGCAGAGCTACAGGGGGACAAGATCGGGGTGAAGGTGGAGCGTCAGGGGGACAAGATCGGGGTGAAGGCAGAGCTACAGGGGGACAAGATCGGGGTGAAGGCAGAGCTACAGGGAGACAAGATCGGGGTGAAGGCAGAGCTACAGGGGGACAAGATCGGGGTGAAGGCAGAGCTACAGGGAGACAAGATCGGGGTGAAGGCAGAGCTACAGGGGGACAAGATCGGGGTGGAGGCAGAGCTACAGGGGGACAAGATCGGGGTGGAGGCAGAGCTACAGGGGGACAAGATCGGGGTGAAGGCAGAGCTACAGGGGGACAAGATCGGGGTGAAGGCAGAGCTACAGGGGGACAAGATCAGGGTGAAGGCAGAGCTTCAGGGGGACAAGATCGGGGTGGAGGCAGAGCTACAGGGAGACAAGATCGGGGTGAAGGCAGAGCTACAGGGGGACAAGATCGGGGTGAAGGCAGAGCTACAGGGAGAGAAGATCGGGGTGAAGGCAGAGCTTCAGGGGGACAAGATCGGGGTGAAGGCGGAGCTACAGGGAGACAAGATCGGGGTGAAGGCAGAGCTACAGGGAGACAAGATGGGGGTGAAGGCAGAGCTACAGGGAGACAAGATCGGGGTGCAGGCAGAGCTACAGGGAGACAAGATCGGGGTGAAGGCAGAGCTACAGGGAGACAAGATCGGGGTGAAGGCAGCGCTACAGGGGGACATGATCAGGGTGGAGGCAGAGCTACAGGGGGACAAGATCGGGGTGAAGGCAGAGCTACAGGGAGACAAGATCGGGGTGCAGGCAGAGCTACAGGGAGACAAGATCGGGGTGAAGGCGGAGCTACAGGGAGACAAGATCGGGGTGAAGGCAGAGCTACAGGGGGACATGATCAGGGTGGAGGCAGAGCTACAGGGGGACAAGATCAGGGTGGAGGCAGAGCTACATGGAGACAAGATCGGGGTGAAGGCAGAGCTACAGGGGGACAAGATCGGGGTGAAGGCAGAGCTACAGGGGGACAAGATCGGGGTGAAGGCAGAGCTACAGGGAGACAAGATCGGGGTGAAGGCAGAGCTACAGGGGGACAAGATCGGGGTGAAGGCAGAGCTACAGGGGGACAAGATCAGGGTGGAGGCAGAGCAACAGGGGGACAAGATCGGGGTGAAGGCAGAGCTACAGGGAGACAAGATCGGGGTGAAGGCAGAGCTACAGGGGGACAAGATCGGGGTGAAGGCAGAGCTACAGGGGGACAAGATCGGGGTGAAGGCAGAGCTACAGGGGGACAAGATCGGGGTGAAGGTGGAGCTACAGGGGGACAAGATCGGGGTGAAGGCAGAGCTACAGGGGGACAAGATCAGGGTGGAGGCAGAGCTACAGGGGGACAAGATCGGGGTGAAGGCAGAGCTACAGGGGGACAAGATCGGGGTGAAGGCAGAGCTACAGGGAGACAAGATCGGGGTGAAGGCAGAGCTTCAGGGGGACAAGATCGGGGTTGAGGCAGAGCTACAGGGGGACAAGATCGGGTGGAGGCAGAGCTTCAGGGGGACAAGATCAGGGTGGAGGCAGAGCTACAGGGAGACAAGATCGAGGTGAAGGCAGAGCTACAGGGGGACAAGATCGGGGTGAAGGCAGAGCTACAGGGAGACAAGATCGGGGTGAAGGCAGAGCTTCAGGGAGACAAGATCGGGGTGAAGGCAGAGCTACAGGGAGACAAGATCAGGGTGGAGGCAGAGCTACAGGGGGACAAGATCAGGGTGAAGGCAGAGCTACAGGGAGACAAGATCGTGCTCAGTCCTCCTGATGAGCATGCTCCAGGAGATAGGGGTGAAGGCAGAGCTTCAGGGGGACAAGATCAGGGTGGAGGCAGAGCTACAGGGGGACAAGATCGGGGTGAAGGCAGAGCTACAGGGAGACAAGATCGGGGTGAAGGCAGAGCTTCAGGGGGACAAGATCGGGGTGAAGGCAGAGCTACAGGGAGACAAGATCGTGCTCAGTCCTCCTGATGAGCATGCTCCAGGAGATCGGGGTGGAGGCAGAGCTACAGGGAGACAAGATCGTGGTCAGGCCTCCTGATATAGATACAGATAACTTGTATTGTTTGTTTAAGCCGCACTCAGCAACATTCCAGCTTTATGACAGTGGTCTGTAAATAATGGAGATTGGCCCAGACAATCCACTGATTGACCTCATGAACATCGATCCATGCAATTGAGATACAATGACATGCATTAACCAAGTCAGCAAGCCTGACCACCCGATGCTGTTAGTCGCATGAGTTGCTGAAAATCAGGACTGGCAGATAAGACAGTATTGGTTCTACAGAATGTGAAACCTGCTTGTTACACTGATGATAAGGTGATGTAAACAGGACTGTAACCCCCATGCTTGGCATTGAATGCGATTTGGTTAGGTGCTCACCACGATGGTTGTTTTAGAGGAATTCTGCACAACCGATGCCCATCAACAGAGACTGAATGCATACCTCTATGGGTTGTTACACACATTGAACAATCCCTATTCCCAACTTGAGAGAAGACTGTGGCTATTGTATTGTCATCATGTGCTGAAGATGCCATTCTTGCTGGCAGGAGCCTTAGGAGGACAATAGTTGATGTAAAAATCTGAGATGTCAAATGTAGAATTGTCAATGAAAACATAATCTGCTGTCACATTGCCGTGTGACCGAGATGAAGCTGTAACAGTCATGTATTTGTATTATCCTATCCCTCTCAACTGATACTTCCTGTTATGAAACAACAATAAACATTGATAATACAACCGTCTTCTTGCCTTACGATGCAGTGCCCATATAGCTGTTGCAGGTACTGTTGATGTCGCTGTTGCAGATTCTGTTGATGTAGATGCAGGAACTGTTGATGTAGATGTTGCAGGTTCTGTTGATGTAGATGGTGCAGGAACTGTTGATGTAGATGTTGCAGGTTCTGTTGATGTAGATAGTGCAGGTACTGTTGATGTAGATGTTGCAGGTTCTGTTGATGTAGATGCAGGAACTGTTGATGTAGATGGTGCAGGTTCTGTTGATGTAGATGCTGCAGGTACTGTTGATGTGGATGTTGCAGGTACTGTTGATGTAGATAGTGCAGGTACTGTTGATGTAGATGCAGGAACTGTTGATGTAGATGGTGCAGGTTCTGTTGATGTAGATGCTGCAGGTACTGTTGATGTAGATGGTGTTTGTGTTTAAGGAGGAGGGTCTTTTTGCTTGTTTTTAACGGAGCGCTCAGCAATATTACAACTATATGACGCAGTCTGTAAATAATCGAGTCTGGACCAGACAATCAAGTGATTGACATCATGAGCATCGATCCGAGCAATTGGGATCGATGACATGCATCAACCAAGTCAGCGAGCCTGACCATCCGATCCCATTAGTCGCCTTTTACGACAAGCATGGGTTGCTTAAGACCTAGATTGTCTGTATGTGAATCATTGTGATTGGACCAGACATACGCAAGTTGTAGACACGGCTATCAGCAACTATTTCGTCTGTAACTAATCGAATCTGGACCTGGAAAGGTGGGGTGAAATGAGGTTTAACGTCGCGTCCAAGATTATTGCACTTATAGCGACGTGCATGTGTGGCTGCTTGTACTAGTCGGGACTGATGCTGATTTATAGTGCTAGTCCACTGAGATACCATGCCGCAGTTTAACATGAATACCAAACTCAGACACAGTATACTGACTCAGAGCCGACAGGTCCTTGGTTTAGCCCCTGAATGCCGAGCGCCAGTCCGGGTAACAAGTACCATCTTTAACAAAGATCTGACGACATCCCATTACGCGTCACGTCAGACCGACCTTGCGCGAACCTTGACCGACGAATGGAAGGACTGACAAGAAGTCGACATTAGCCAAACAGAAGGCAGCTTTCTCGTTCTTTACGGCACTAATTTTAAATTGGCGACTACGCTTCGAAACACATTTTGACAAACTCTCGATTTAAAATTTGAAGCCCGAACAAAAGAACATTCTGGAATGGCTAATAGGTCGTCGAGATTGTATGGGTTCAGTCGTTAAACCCGTAACTATCGTTCGGAATACCCCGTGTTAAAGTTTTAGAGGTTGCATGATTAGAAATCACATTCCGACTGTCACTTTCATGATGTGGTAAGCGACGCTCTGATTGGTCGGATGAAAGGTCGTTCTGACGTGACTACTTATGGGATATCCTCATCTTTGTTTAGTGGTAGCGAGAACTAAGATCTGATTTTAATGAGATTGCTCTACTACTAGACCACAGAGACCAGGACCAGGAAAGCCAGTGGTTGATGGCATGAGTAAATGTTTCGCTGTCGGATTACAAAGACACCGAATCAAGCAGGTTCTTCAGTTACCACTCTATCCTTTATCGACTAGCTCATAAAAGTATTTAGAACTTGGGACATGTATTCTGCAACGGATCCCCAGTAAGGGACGAGGCAAATACGGTGTATTAAACAATAGCTAGTATACAGTTGTCCAAGAAGTCGGAAATGTAAGTCTGGATACAACGTACAGCGCCTCTTGTATATACAGACGTAAGCTGCACTCCATATTTGTATTCAAGGGTCGACACAAACGGTGAGCATCCTGGTGAATGGCCTGGACAGAAGTATTCAGTTTGTAAGTGACAAGTACCTCGAGAACATTACACTTTGGGCAATATAACACCATAGGTAGCAAATCAGATAAATATTTATTTTTGAAATGTGCTCCAGCTACAGGTTAAATCTACATGATTATTTCTTTTACAAGTTGGATAAACAAATATTTGATATTTCGTCATTCTCCTAGGGCAGAGATCGGTAAATGGATTTTTTTCTCTGTATTGGTTGTAAGTGGTCTTGTTCATTAAACTAAATACTGGTAAATGAATCAAGAGCCACAAATTGCACCCCTTGTGTTCACAAAAATAATACAAAAATGTACTACTCTCTTGTCATGAAAGTATGTATAGGTTGGACATATTATTGTGGGTTCAAATTCCAGATTTATTCCTTGGTTTGTGAGCGCCATACCCTTACTGGTTTCACCAAAGCTGTGAACGTCCAAGACCGGCATCGCATCGGGCTTTTGAAAGTTAACAAGTGTTGGGGCAACTTGACCAATTTACACCTTGCCTGTTGAAACTAATGTACTGGTCAAAGCGCCGTAAAAAACAACTCACTCTCTCATTATTGTGTACAGTAAATTCTGGTTTATTCTAACTACACTATCTCGATATCGTCGATATGACTTCATGCCACGGTAGAATATTTACATCAGCCTCAGTCTTATTTAGTTGCCCTACTAGGGATAAGTCGACATATATCGGATATATAATTATGATGCTGGGGTCTTCGAGTCTCACTGTATCTCATTTGAGCACATCTCTGGATGTGGGACATATATCGGATTATACTTGGGTCTTCGGATTAAGAAGACACATCGTATTTCATTGAAGCATATCTCTGGATGTAACTGGACCATAGTTGAAGACATAGTATTTTAGAGATAACATTTCTTGTTTCAGACTAACATCTAGTCTCTGAAATGAACATAATTTACAAAAAAAAACAGTTGCTAAATTATAGTTATAAAATATAATAAAAAGGAGCCAAGAGACTTTCCTCATTTTCAAATACTGCAGTAATCTGGACTAACCAAACTTTATAGACCTGCATGGACTCTATTGGATATATTTGTTTCAGGGTATGTAGGACAGACTACTCATGCCTCTTCATGGAGTAAAAGACGTCTAAGTTGAATTATAAAGAGACAGATAATGTATACATGGGATATGATTAATGTAAAAAAATATACCAAGATAACTAAATATATAATAGGACCCCAGTTTATCTTCCAGATTTTGCCTCTCAAAATGACCCCAGTTTATCTTCCAGATTTTGCCTCTCAAATGACTCCAGTTTATCTTCCAGATTTTGCCTCTTAAATGACCCCAGTTTATCTTCCAGATTGTGCCTCTCAAATGACCCAACGAGCGACACTCTAAACATCGTAGTTCAACACAGCCTCCACGAGCCTCTCCACCGAAGCCAGGTCCACACAGCTCTTCCTCCTGTTCCTAACAAGCCTCTCTATCGTCTCTCTGGCAAACCCCATCTCCAGCACCCGTGTTACAGTGTCGCTCAGCATAAACACCTCGGGGTCGTCCATGTCCTGTTTGAACACAGCATCTCCCCTGGCGCGCATGCATCCACAAAATCCAGCTTGATTGGTTGTAACCATGTCACGTGTTGTCGTGTTCAGGGATTTCTTGGAAGAGAGGTTGAGTCTAGCTGGAACTGACGTGGGTCTGTTGCCTTCAAAGAAACTGAAACCGAAACAAGATTCGGATTGATAACTGGGAAGATAATCAACATGTTCCTAGAAGTGAAATCTTCTCACACTGACTTCTCCGAGTCGTAGTACAGTGTGAAGGGTTTCACTGATAGCGCAAGTGCCATGACCAACATTCTGATAGAAATGAATCCTTTGTGTTTTCAACATATGGCCAGGGATCCATATTGTTGAATCTTTTTTAAAGGCACGTACATACAACTTACAGGGGCGGTCGGGTAGCCTAGTGGTTAAAGCGTTCGCTCGTCACGCCGAAGACCCGGGTTCGATTCCCGACATGGGTACAATGTGTGAACGCCCATTTCTGGTGTCCCCCGCCGTGATATTGCTGGAATATTGCTAAAAGCGGCGTAAAACCATACTCACTCACTCACTACAACTTACAACATGAATATTAAGATATATTTCACTGAATTGCATATCTTCTTACAGGTGTTATTAACATATTTGTAACGTTGGTATTTATTAATAAACCACAGTCATACTTGTATACTAGGCATACTTGTATGTATGGTTATATAGGTCCGTGCTCTAGGTAACACATATTCTTGTCAAGAACTCCGTACACGATTCTGACATTGTTTTGTCATTAACATGTTATGTTATGTCAATAAAGTTATAAAAATATAAACGTTGACTGACTTTCGTTTTCTTTTAATCGTTTTCAGTCACTAGGTGATGCAGTTCAACATCAAACTGTTTACAATTCCTTATTTTCAATAAATCTATCAAATAAATGGACAGATGTTTCTGTCAATTTGTAAAATGACTGGATTATTTAGGTGTTATGTAAAATACAAAAGTAAATCAGACAGTTTATAAATTGCCTAAAAGTTTCAGTCATTTTACGTATTTACTGTAACATATACACCTTACGATGATGACCCGGGGTAAAATAGGTCTTCAGCAACCCATGCTTACCGTAAAAGGTGACTATGCTTATCGTAAGAGGCGACTAACCGGATCGGGTGATCAGGCTCGCTGACTTGGTTGATGTATGTCATCGATCCCAATTGCGTGGTTCGATGCTCACGATATTAATCACAGGATTGTCTGGTCCAGACTCGATTATTTACAGACCGCCGTCATATAGCTGGAATATTGCTGAATGCGGCGTTAAACAACAAACCAACCAACCTTACCTTGCTGGGCTTGATGCTGTCAATGCCTGGTTCGTCCTCCTCGCGCTTCCATTCATCCCCAGAAAGGGACACGTGGGAAAGCACTGCCTATGCTCCATCTCCGGTTCCTCTCCCCAGCTCCATGCATACAGCTTACCCTGGCAGTACCCACATTTCACCCGGTCAGGCTTACCCGCGGTTGGGGCATGGAAGAAACCTGCTCTTGCCAGATCCACTGGTGAAATCGGAGAGTCCGTAGGCCAGTGTCTGAACGACGCTAGACGACTTGCTTCAGATGTGTAGTCTAAAGTCCTTACCGCAGTGGACACAGACGGTGCCCCAGTCTCCTCATCCGAACAATTACGTTTCACTTGAGTTGTAGAAGAAGGTATGGGCTTTGCTTCCTTATCAGAAGGTCTTAATCTGTTGATGTAGTCTGAAGGTGGCGGGACACACGATGGAATGATGTACATATTTTCATTCATGGAAGTGTCACATCCCTTGTTCCAGCCTGGCACCTCCAGTACTGCTGGTCTCAGTACTGAACCCCCGAGCATCTGTGGGGCGGCACATCGCCTGGCTGGAATATTGCCCACATCGTCCCCCTGGAGAAATCTGCAATGCGGAAAGTGTCTCTGATGTTCGGTCAGCGGGACATCCCCCAGTTGCCATTCCTTCAACACCCCCAGACAGAAGGCGCATTGGACTCGGTCCAAACGTCCAGTGTAAAAGAGTCCGACTTCTGCCAATTTGGCCGGATCCTGGAACGAGGAGGGCCAATTGGTAAACGTCATAAGTCGTCTCGCCTCATCTCTCATCCCCTCAACCATAGCGAGTTCCGAGTTCAGCCCCACCTGATCACGCGCCGTCTCGCTCCAACTTGAATGACCTTGAACTGTCAGCCTACCACCCTCGCTGTCCGGAACGTCTCGAGAAGAGTCTCTGTATTTACTTGTCATCTCACACACATACAACATAGTCGATGTATTCAGCACACGCCCCCCTGATTTGTAGCAACTAATTTATAACGCGTTGTTCGTATCCAATAACTTATGAGTTCAATCAGTGAGACTCGGATACATCAGATATATCCGCCTCCGGATGGGGCTAAGTTGAAGATGTGTTGAGTGCTGTACATGAAATGACAGCATCAGTCAACGTTCCGCTCGTTATATCCAGCTCACGATAAATTTCCCCTGTTGGACAGCCACGAGTACAACGCACTATCAGTTGCCTTTACCCTGGACATATACCCGGTAAATTCCCTTGAATGAATTCCCGGTACTGCCGATATTTCCGGCAATTCCCCTGCCAGTTTTCCTCGAACTGACAACAGTCACGGCAATTCCCCTTCCGATATCCCCCGTTCACAATATGTGGGGTTAGCGATTCAAATGTTTTTTACTTGGTTCGTTGTAATTCAATGGCTGAAATAAAATAATTGAATTATTTATATACGTGCACATTAATTGATACATTTTCCCTAAAAAGGATCCATAAACAATCCGATAATATATCATTGTCTAACGGACACATTTAATCAAGAAGTATGAAAAATAATTCTAATACCGTGGTTGCATAAATATCCTCTAATATTATATAAGAACACAGCATATATATTAACTGTAAAGTCAGACCTCCCTGAGAATACCAGTGATCCAGTGAAACGTGTTGTAGAATTTACAGCGTGGTGTTATTTTTTGTCAAAGTTGCTTTGAAAGATGAACAGGATACCAGCGAACAGATATATTTTATACACGTACACACACACACACTCTCTCTCTCTCTCTCTCTCTCTCTCTCTCTCTCTCTCTCTCTCTCTCTCTCTCTCACACTCACACACACACACATAATACACATAATACACACACACACATGATACACACACACACACACACACACACACATACACACAAAATATATTTTGTTAAACAGGGAACTCTCTCATCATCGGTTTGCCGTTTTACATCAGGTCACACAAAATGTTAATATTTATTGAACCCTGTACTTTGCATAGCAATTATTCTGTACTTGAACATACACTTCCTAATACTAACACTCCTGAAGGTTGCTATGTTAAGCTACCCTTGTAAGTTATGAAAGTAATTTGCATTAATTGTTGAAACGTGCTGAAAAATACATATTAATTTAGAAAGCAAATATATATCATATTAAGTATCAACATAATATAATACAATATATGACTGTGAACATGTTATAGCATGACGCATATTAAAAGGAAATCTAAACAAATCATGACATTAAAACGAATATGTGGAAATGAGACTCCTATTTCCATCACTGATAGCAGTAAACACAAATCACAGTAAACCACTGATCGCAGTAAACACAAATCACAGTAAACCACTGATCGCAGTAAACACAAATCACAGTAAACCACTGATCCCAGTAAACCAATACAAATACAAGAAAAAGTACTGACGAATTAGCTCAAAGATTTTCACTCAGAGTTGTTGGTATAAATATATGTAGTATATGTCAATCTATGTTTAATAACAGACAATATACTGGGTCTGTATTCGTGTAACTAATGTTAATTTGGTAATCAATAAAAACATCACCATTAGTTGTATTAAACCAAACGCAAATACAACCCTCGCCACAACATACAGCCGGGTTACAATGACCTTATCGCAGTCTTTTACCCTGGAATATTAAAACAACGTAACAGTGAATGAGTGTATATATGTAAATGTGTGTGTACATATACATAATTTTGTGTGTCAACATAATATAATACAATATATGACTGTGAACTTGTGATAGCATGACGTATATTCAAAGGAAATCTAAACAATATATATATATGGACTTTATTATTTTATTTTATTATATATTACATGTACACCTAGTTACATACACAAAAATGAGGCAAATGTTCACTCGGTGTACATGTAATATATAATAAAATAATAAAGTCCACGGTAGTCCAACATCTTTTTTATTCAGTTTGAACTTTATTATTTTATTACATATATGTGTGCAATGAAATATATTTATATAATTTATATATATATATATTTGCATGTATTTGTAGCTTAATAAATACATCCCAACCTCCTCATAACTTTTAAATTCGTTGAATGAATCCGCTTTCACAGTTAATACCTCCTTTTGATTGATATGGGGAACTCAACCTTATTAAAGAGATAATCAGTTTTGACAAATATATTTAAATATGCAACTGACATATTATGAGAATCTTTTTTGTGTTTCATGGGAGGATAAAAATTATTCCCCTATCAAAAGTAGAGAAGTATATGGTGAAACGCAACTACGAGTTGGAGGTCTTAATCAATACATCTTTCTACATATTTATATGAACATTTGCTCAAAAACAAAGGTAAGTGTAATCGTAGAGATGTTTTGATAACTGCTTACTAATAATAAGGACAATACGGATTATATTTGTTCCATGTCGCGTTCACAAGAAACAACCCCTTAAGAAAGATCAGGCTTGCTGGTGTCGGTATTAATACGCAAAGAGTCACACCCGAATTCATCTTTTTGAATTGTTTGATTTAAAGTCGACACATTTTTATGTTTATTTGCAGCCCATGAGGGCTTCATGTAGCCAAATTAAACACCATCGTGCATTAAACCAAGCATAAATTGATTGCTAGCTAGTAGGAATAACAAGACAAAGTTATTTCATCGAAATAAGTATTAAGAACTAAGTTGATCTAAAGTAGCTACACTTTCAGGATTTCTGATAACGTGGAACAGGTTTGGTGTCTAATTAAGATTTAATTAATTAAAGGTTGTATGCATATTGCTATCAGGTGAAATAAGTTTGTAAATTCAAATGATAAGAGCACCATGTATGTATGAACGCCTGTAACGGTTTGTTGATGACCCACTTGCAATGGCAATGGCAGATTTTATAAGAGTTGGTCACAGGTCATGATGCGCTGTTGCTTAAATAGTCATGACGCCCACTGTACTGGAGTAATGGGTTAAGTTAAAACATATACTGCAGCCATAATATGAACTGAAATAAGCAAGCCTCCCCTCTATTTTTGAAGGACGAGGGTGTAATATATGAAAATATTTTCTGTCGGTGTCACAAAAAGATTTATATGCAATGACCATCTTTCATAGTGCACTACTCCTTCAGACAAGTAGGCATAGTTTAAAAGTTTACTACCTCTTCATATTGCCGTCGACACGCATGCACATACATGTACATGTATTTACAGAATGATACTGCTTCATACTCCTCCAGACAAACGTGCATAGTTTTATCAGGACACAACTACTTCATTCTGCTCCAGACAAACATACCTAGATTTACCAGTATGCTACGGCTCCATACTCCTCCAGACAAACATACATAGTTTTATCCGGACACAACTACTTCATACTGCTCCAGACAAACATACATAGTAATATCAGGACACTTCTACTTCATTCTGCTCCAGACAATCAAGCCGAGTTTTACTAGGATAGTGCTGCTTCATACTGCTCCAGACAAACATATAAAGTTTTGCCAGTGTACTACTGCTTCATGTTGCTCCAGACAAACATACATAGTTTTACCAGTATGCTATTGCTTCATACTGCTCCAGACAAACATATAAAGTTTTGCCAGTATACTACTGCTTCATGTTGCTCCAGGCAAACATACATAGTTTTATCAGAATACTACTGCTTCATACTCCTCCAGACAAACACGCCTAGTTTTACCAGTATGCTACTGCTTCATACTGCTCCAGACAAACATACATAGTTTTACCAGTATGCTGCTGCTTCATACAGCTCCAGACAAACATACATAGTTTTACCAGTATGCTACTGCTTCATACAGCTCCAGACAAACATACATAGATTAACCAGTATGCTGCTGCTTCATACTGCTCCAAACAAACATACATAGTTTAACCAGTATGCTACTGCTTCATACTGCTCCAGACAAACATACATAGTTTTACCAGTATGCTACTGCTTCATTCTGCTCTAGGCAAACATACATAGTTTTACCAGTATGCTACTGCTTCATATAGCTCCAGACAAACATACATAGTTTTACCAGTATACTACTGCTTCATACTGCTCCAGACAAACACGCCTAGTTTTACCAGTATGCTGCTGCTTCATACAGCTCCAGACAAACATACATAGTTTTACCAGTATGCTGCTGCTTCATACTGCTCGAGACAAACATACATAGTTTTACCAGTATGCTGCTGCTTCATACTGCTCGAGACAAACACGTCTACTTTTTCCAGTATGCTGCTGCTTCATACAGCTCCAGACAAACATACATAGTTTTACCAGTATACTACTGCTTCATACTGCTCCAGACAAACATACATAGTTTTAACAGTATGCTGCTGCTTCATACTGCTCCAGACAAACATACATAGTTTTACCAATATGCTACTGCTTCATTCTGCTCCAGACAAACATACATAGTTTTAACAGTATGCTGCTGCTTCATACTGCTCCAGACAAACATACATAGTTTGACCAGTATGCTGCTGCTTCATACTGCTCCAGACAAACACGTCTACTTTTTCCAGTATGCTGCTGCTTCATACAGCTCCAGACAAACATACATAGTTTTACCAGTATGCTGCTGCTTCATTCAGCTCCAGTTAAACATACATAGTTTGACCAGTATACTACTGCTTCATACTGCTCCAGACAAACATACATAGTTTTACCAGTATGCTACTGCTTCATTCTGCTCCAGACAAACATACATAGTTTTACCAGCATGCTGCTGCTTCATACTGCTCCAGACAAACATACATAGTTTTACCAGTATGCTGCTGCTTCATACTGCTCCAGACAAACACGTCTACTTTTTCCAGTATGCTGCTGCTTCATACAGCTCCAGACAAACATACATAGTTTTACCAGTATGCTGCTGCTTCATTCAGCTCCAGACAAACATACATAGTTTTACCAGTATGCTACTGCTTCATTCTGCTCCAGACAAACATACATAGTTTGACCAGTATACTGCTGCTTCATACTGCTCAAGACAAACATACATAGTTTTACCAGTATACTACTGCTTCATACTCCTCCAGACAAACATACCTAGTTTTACCAGTATGCTGCTGCTTCATACTGCTCCAGACAAACATACATAGTTTTACCAGTATACTACTGCTTCATGTTGCTCCAGGCAAACATACTTAGTTTTACCAGTATACTACTGCTTCATTCTGCTCCAGACAAACATACATAGTTTTACCAGTATGCTACTGCTTCATACAGCTCCAGACAAACATACATAGTTTGACCAGTATCCTACTGCTTCATACAGCTCCAGACAAACATACATAGTTTTACCAGTATACTACTGCTTCATACAGCTCCAGACAAACATACATAGTTTGACCAGTATACTACTGCTTCATGTTGCTCCAGGGAAACATACATAGTTTGACCAGTATACTACTGCTTCATACTGCTCCAGACAAACATACATAGTTTGACCAGTATACTACTGCTTCATGTTGCTCCAGGAAAACATACATAGTTTGACCAGTATACTACTGCTTCATGTTGCTCCAGGGAAACATACATAGTTTGACCAGTATGTTGCTGCTTCATACAGCCTGGACAATGTCGCGATGGTTTAGGACTTGACAACAAAAGTGTATTGACAGCGTCAACATTGGTGGCGTGTTGGAGGGAGGATTGTATATGTGTGTGTGTGTGTGTGTGTGTGTGTGTGTGTGTGTGTGTGTGTGTGTGTGCGTGTGTGCGTGTGTGTGTGTGTGTGTGTGTGTGCGTGCGTGCGTGCGTGCGTGCGTGCGTGCGTGCGTGCGTGTGTGTGTCCTGTATGCGCGTGTGTTGGGGAATTACATGAATGAATTTGATATAAATTAAAACCCCGCTAATACAGACATGCAGCTGTAGTGCCAACAGAAACAATCATACCTAAGCAGTGGATGAGGGAAATACCAGCATCCGCTGTGTCACATTGCCAAACAGTTTTCATTTCCTAGGAACACATGCAGAACTTACTACTTTCTCACTAATGCTGCTGTTCTCTGAGTTCTTTTCCATAGGTATTAACATTATAATCATGTCATATAGTATCGCCTGCAAACACAAACCGCGAATCAGACTACAAACACAACAGATAGCACTGCAAACTGTACAGGTAGAAAATCTACGTTGTGTGCGCATACCCCACTAAAACTTGTAGAGATGATACAAATAATGGAGAGGCTCACCCTGTGTGCTGCTCCTGTCGTAAATCCATGTCTCGTTTAACGCGGCGTACAAGGCCGACCACGGTGAAATAAGGCTGGGTTTTCCCCGAGGGGAATCTACTGGGAGCCCCAGCTGGGCTTTCCATAGGTGGAAGTTCCCATACAACAGACTTCTCCCAGAATTAACAACGCTGTGATCAGATTATCATTTCATAAACATTGTAATGTAAACATAATATGCAATATGATACAAGATTATAAGACTCAGGAAGTTTTTTTAGTCATGACTTCCGACACAGAGAATGCATATATCTTCTTATCGTAAAATATTGCTGATAATGCAAATTTTGTTTCGTTGTCGCATAGTGAATTTGCAACATCTTCCCGTTATGCAGTGAACTTTATGTTGTTAATCACTGTTGTATATGATACAGACTTGCGATTACTAACATACATATGTTCAAACACTCTTTGATCATGTACACTTTGATCATACACACTTTGATCATGTGTATATATGACATGGTTGCATTGCCAGGAGGCAATAAATTGACATGGAAGGCTGGCCCCATTCACTGTACTCGGTCTATTTCATGACTGACTCGCCGAGCAGGCCTTATAATGAAAACCCCCAACCTCCAACCCACTCCCCCCCCCCCCCCCCCCCCCTCCCCCCCCCCGGATAATCTATTAATAGACTTCGGGGTATTCCCTCCTTTCTGCTCACTCAGCAGGTTTTTGTTGTAAAATTTGGACATTTTTATATTTTCGGTTCCCGACTATTCATTTGACAAGTTCTCGAATGCCAAAGCTTTGAAATTTACATATTTTTTTTTAGTGAATGCATTTAACTCGTTCACTTCTCGTTTCTGGACAGACATTACACTTTGAAACGCCATGATGAACAAAACAGTTTTAAATCATGAACTACCCAAGCGGGGCATGTTGATGTCTTTCTGCAATAAAAAAATATACATGTAATTATTTATAGTCAAAACACAATAAAGCATATTGCAAAACGTTTAGTCTTATCTTGTGATGTGCAACTGTAAATATCAGCTCATTTTCCTTTGAGAGCACACCAGACATGCCATAACGGTGAAGTAATTACTTCTCTACGATCGACAAAATCTGGAATAAATGTGAAGAACTGTTTTCGCAAGAATTTCCTCACGCACATGACGGGTCAGCTTTAAGATGTACTCAAAATAGTTCATAATAAAGTCTACTTCAGTCTTTCTGTACATATACATGCACTCTTACCAAAGTCAGAAATATCCTAGCGTCGCAGTATTACCGGCACCGGTGTCAGGATGCTAAGGGATAAGATACAATTTTGAATAAACATCGACAGTGCTGTAATTCTTTTGCCAAGCTTTGGTACACCTGTGTATTTAGAAAGGTATCCGGGGTGTATTTGTGTATACAGAAATGTACCTGGTACATTTCTTTTGTTCCTGCGAGAGCAATGGCACCAAACAGCTATCTGGATGCGCATGTAGTCTATTGAGAGACAATCAAACAGGTGGAACTAGGTAACACTTCCACGTAAATGATCCCCATTCGAGGGTTTAGCTCTCTTTCTCTTCACTTTTGAGATACGCTGAGACACGCAATCTTCATATCCTCGACAATTTTATTTACATTTTCATATTTTTTTTTACAATTTAATGTTTCCACAAGTTTTTTTTTCGTAGAACAATTGCAAGGGAAAACTGCAAGTGCAATGTGATAAAGTCTCATGCATATGTATGGATACATTATAAATTCTTTTGTCTGCTAACTGTCAATATAACTTAGATAACAAAGCTTTCGAGAAAAGCTGTTTCATTTTACTTTGCCATAAACATGCATGTAAGATATATGACCGCAGCTACATGTATATTCGTCAAAACGCATACTTAACATGAAAATGCCACGTTGCTCTAACAATCACGCAATCTGCTCTTAAGCTTACTTAATGCATCAAGTTTCCACGACCTCAGACAACCGGTCTGTACCTGCATTGTCCAGGTGTGTTTGTATGACCTACAATCAAGGTTGCCATGTGGCCATGCAGAAACGGGAAAGCCCGCTAGGCTATTTTTGGCTGTCGGGCAGCCCCGGTGCTAATCAATATACCGTATTCGACGTAATAAGCGCACCGCTCTAATAAGCGCCCACAGCGATATTTGCTAATATATTGGCAAGTGAACAATCCCAATTAGCACCCCTTCCGATTTATCAATGTACACAGGACTTATTTATTTGTGTATAAAACGCACTCGTGTGTTATATGCATCCTTAAATATGGGCAATTAAATTCTGGAAAAATGTATCTGTGGTATATAAACAGTTCAGACTGTCAGCATAAACCACGAAATTTATCTTTCAACTCTGGTTTTTTTTCACCAAAATAATATTCTCATAAGAACCCCCTATTTCTAATTGTGAGAGCGCCCTGGGCGCTTATTACGTCGAATACGGTAACCATGCACAGATGCTCGTCTGCAGGTCAATCGACATCTGTATGATGTGGTGTTGCTGAGTTATAGCTGTTTCCGCAGTGAATATTTCCTACTGTTAGGTAAAGCATAATGTGTATGGAAGTGTAATAAACTGTGTTATGTAAATGTTGCTCTGTCGGGTGCAGTGTAGAGCTGATCTAGTATCAAAGTATGAGGTGCATAAGAGTGTCATGAACAGGTTGTACATGGTGGAGCGTTAAGCTGATGTAATCATACGTTCTGTATAAGTGAGTGAGATGGGTTTAACGCCGCTCTTAACGGTATTCCAGTTATATCACGGCGTGTCAGCTTAATGTGGGAGGAAAGCCCGAAGTGTACAGATCTCAGATGTTTACCACTTCTGTAAAACACACGAGCACGGGTATGGTGCTGACAAACCTAGAAACATAATCGGGGCGAACCGGGATTCGAACCGACAATCATAGGTTTCTGGAGTGCCCAAGGGACGCAACCCTGCACAGCGAATTGCGGCGCCTTAGACGACTTGGCCACCCGTGCCCCCCACCTGAGTCCAGTAGAGTCTGTTATGTACCCGTTTCACTGTCGGGTGCAATGTTAAGCTGATCTAGTAAGAGTGCCTTGTATGATAGTACGATTAAATGTGCTGTATGGTGCAGTGTATTTTCTACCCGTTCATATCAGTTATCCAATAAGGTGGCAGATAAAAACCAGAAAAGAAACATAAAACAAAAACGGAAAGGGTGATAGTTTTCCATTAATCTTTCATTTCCAATTTTAATCACTTCATGTCATCATATATTAGTTATGTACCAGATTGTTCTGTAACAACAGACTTAGATAATAAATGAACCCTATTGTATGTTGAGAATGTTCATTGAGAATGTTACATAATTTAGTCGACCCGTGAAGATTCGGGTTAGAATAGGTTTTCAGCAACCCATGCGACTATGCTTGTCGTAAGAGGCGACTAACGGGATCGGGGGGTCAGGCTCCTGACTTGGTTGATACATGTCATCGATTCAAATTGCGTAGATCGATGCTCAAGATGTCAATCACTGGATTGTCTGGTCCAGACTCGATTATATACAGAGGGCCATCATATAGCTGGAATATTGCTGAGTGCGGCGTTAAACAACAAACAAACATAATTTTGTCCAGTAAGAAAACCAATAGGCTTTGTTTAGTTTTAAGATAAGATTTATCATTAACAGAAACATTAGTCTTCGACCTGTTTTGGCAGTTGTTATCATGAATGTTTCAGTAAAGGTCTCGTTATAATTGTCCAAGATTGGTTGGTTGGTTGGTTGGTTTGTTGTGTAACGCCGCACTCAGCAATATTCCAGCTATATGGCGGCGGTCTGTAAGTAATCGAGTCTGGACCAGACAATCCAGTGATTAATATCATGAGCATCGATCCGCGCAATTGGGATCGACGACATGCATCAAACAAGTCAGCGAGCCTGAGGTCTTGTTATAACTGATTTAAAAGGTGGGATCTTGTTATTAATGTTTTGAGAGGTAAGGTCTTGTTATAACTGATTTAAAAGGTGGGATCTTGTTATTACTGTTTTGAGAGGTAAGATCTTGTTATAACTGATTTGAAAGGTGGTATCTTGTTCATCTTCTTGAATATAAAGATCTTGTTATTACTAGTTTGATAGATAAGGTGTTGTTATTAATGTTTTGAGAGGTAAGGTCTTGTTATAACTGATTTAAAAGGTGGGATCTTGTTATTACTGTTTTGAGAGGTAAGGTCTTGTTATAACTGATTTAAAAGGTGGGATCTTGTTATTACTGTTTTGAGAGGTAAGGTCTTGTTATAACTGATTTAAAAGGTGGGATCTTGTTATTAATGTTTTGAGAGGTAAGGTCTTGTTATAACTGATTTAAAAGGTGGGATCTTGTTATTACTGTTTTGAGAGGTAAGATCTTGTTATAACTGATTTGAAAGGTGGTATCTTGTTCATCTTCTTGAATATAAAGATCTTGTTATTACTAGTTTGATAGATAATGTGTTGTTATTACTGTTTTGAGAGGTAAGGTCTTGTTATAACTGATTTAAAAGGTGGGATCTTGTTATTACTGTTTTGAGAGGTAAGGTCTTGTTATAACTGATTTAAAAGGTGGGATCTTGTCATTACTGTTTTGAGAGGTAAGGTCTTGTTATAACTGATTTAAAAGGTGGGATCTTGTTATTAATGTTTTGAGAGGTAAGGTCTTGTTATAACTGATTTAAAAGGTGGGATCTTGTTATTACTGTTTTGAGATGTAAGATCTTGTTATAACTGATTTGAAAGGTGGTATCTTGTTCATCTTCTTGAATATAAAGATCTTGTTATTACTAGTTTGATAGATAATGTGTTGTTATTACTGTTTTGAGAGGTAAGGTCTTGTTATAACTGATTTAAAAGGTGGGTTCTTGTTATTACTGTTTTGAGAGGTAAGGTCTTGTTATAACTGATTTAAAAGGTGGGATCTTGTTATTAATGTTTTGAGAGGTAAGGTCTTGTTATAACTGATTTAAAAGGTGGGATCTTGTTATTACTGTTTTGAGAGGTAAGATCTTGTTATAACTGATTTGAAAGGTGGTATCTTGTTCATCTTCTTGAATATAAAGATCTTGTTATTACTAGTTTGATAGATAAGGTGTTGTTATTACTGTTTTGAGAGGTAAGGTCTTGTTATAACTGATTTAAAAGGTGGGATCTTGTTATTACTGTTTTGAGAGGTAAGGTCTTGTTATAACTGATTTAAAAGGTGGGATCTTGTTATTACTGTTTTGAGAGGTAAGGTCTTGTTATAACTGATTTAAAAGGTGGGATCTTGTTATTACTGTTTTGAGAGGTAAGGTCTTGTTATAACTGATTTAAAAGGTGGGATCTTGTTATAACTGATTTGAAAGGTGGTATCTTGTTCATCTTCTTGAATATAAAGATCTTGTTATTACTAGTTTGATAGATAAGGTGTTGTTATTAATGTTTTGAGAGGTAAGGTCTTGTTATAACTGATTTAAAAGGTGGGATCTTGTTATTACTGTTTTGAGAGGTAAGGTCTTGTTATAACTGATTTAAAAGGTGGGATCTTGTTATTACTGTTTTGAGAGGTAAGGTCTTGTTATAACTGATTTAAAAGGTGGGATCTTGTCATTACTGTTTTGAGAGGTAAGGTCTTGTTATAACTGATTTAAAAGGTGGGATCTTGTTATTACTGTTTTGAGAGGTAAGGTCTTGTTATAACTGATTTGAAAGGTGGTATCTTGTTCATCTTCTTGAATATAAAGATCTTGTTATTACTAGTTTGATAGATAATGTGTTGTTATTACTGTTTTGAGAGGTAAGGTCTTGTTATAACTGATTTAAAAGGTGGGATCTTGTTATTACTGTTTTGAGAGGTAAGGTCTTGTTATAACTGATTTAAAAGGTGGGATCTTGTTATTAATGTTTTGAGAGGTAAGGTCTTGTTATAACTGATTTAAAAGGTGGGATCTTGTTATTACTGTTTTGAGATGTAAGATCTTGTTATAACTTATTTGAAAGGTGGGATCTTGTTCATCTTCTTGAATATAAAGATCTTGTTATTACTAGTTTGATAGATTAGGTGTTGTTATTACTGTTTTGAGAGGTAAGGTCTTGTTATAACTGATTTAAAAGGTGGGATCTTGTTATTACTGTTTTGAGAGGTAAGATCTTGTTATAACTGATTTGAAAGGTGGTATCTTGTTCATCTTCTTGAATATAAAGATCTTGTTATTACTAGTTTGATAGATAATGTGTTGTTATTACTGTTTTGAGAGGTAAGGTCTTGTTATAACTGATTTAAAAGGTGGGATCTTGTTATTACTGTTTTGAGAGGTAAGGTCTTGTTATAACTGATTTAAAAGGTGGGATCTTGTTATTACTGTTTTGAGAGGTAAGGTCTTGTTATAACTGATTTAAAAGGTGGGATCTTGTTATTACTGTTTTGAGAGGTAAGATCTTGTTATAACTGATTTGAAAGGTGGTATCTTGTTCATCTTCTTGAATATAAAGATCTTGTTATTACTAGTTTGATAGATAAGGTGTTGTTATTACTGTTTTGAGAGGTAAGGTCTTGTTATAACTGATTTAAAAGGTGGGATCTTGTTATTACTGTTTTGAGAGGTAAGGTCTTGTTATAACTGATTTAAAAGGTGGGATCTTGTTATTACTGTTTTGAGAGGTAAGGTCTTGTTATAACTGATTTAAAAGGTAGGATCTTGTTATTACTGTTCTTGAAGATTTAGATCTTGTTATAACTGTTTTGATAGATAAGGTGTTGTGACTGTTTTGAGAGGTGAGGTAATATTATAACTGCTTTGAGAGGTAAGGTCTTGTTATAACTGGTGTTGTTATTACTGTTTTTAGATGTAAGATCCTGTCTTGACGGGTGTCACCTGTTGGTCAGAATAAGCTCACTAAGCACCATCACTGCAGTATTGTGATTTGTAAGCACATGTTTGTGATATGGTCGTATTCGTACAATGGACTCCGCTTTTAGCAGATATTTCTTATGATCAGGGAAATGGTTTTGTGATTTTTATTTATTATCAGAACTGTTTTGATAGATAAGGTTTAGTTATTACTGTTTGTGGTAGATAAGGTCTTGTAATAACTGAGTTGAAAGCCAAAGGTTTAGTGAAAATTATTTTCATAACTTCATTTACCTGTTTCTATCTTTTGAAAAAAAGGTTTCTAATTGTATCAGCAGCAATTTCTTTCATCTTTATTAAGACAGCTATGACTAAATATGTTTGTTTTTCTGTTTCGTTTCCCTGCATTCCAACAGAACAGCTTCAATATATTTAATAATATTTATTATCGGTGTAATTAACGGTTTCCGCAATGAGTTACACCTACTGAAGGGCAGTGAACGCTATGTTGTGTTGGCTATGTGCTGTATAATATTATGCTAAAACAATAATCAGCCTACATGCACTTGTCTCTATTACAGTTGGCATGGGTGTGACGCTCTTTAATGATGTCAGTGTTGAGCTTGGTCGGGAAAAACCATCCAGGGTTGAGCTAAGTTGGTCTTGACTGGGAATACCCAGTTGCGCTATCCTGACTCCGTGAGACTGAAGAGCTGCCTTCTGCGATTTCTCGTGTGAAACTCGATTGTGGATAATAATACCACAATAGAATTGATATAGTGTGCTGACAAATGATGACTCTGAACCAGGTGAAGGTATGCACATGGAGAAATGTTTCGTAAAAAGGTAATATCGTTAATTGGCATTGCAACTGCAGCTGATCGTTTGTTTGTTTGTTTGTTTGTTTGTTGTTAAACACCGCACTCAGCAGTATTCCAGCTATATGACGGTGGTCTCTAAATAATCGAGTCTGAAGAAATCAGATTCATCTCCAGTGAGTGGTTACGTAATACGCCAGGGTCCGTGATACGCCAAGGTACGCGAAACGCCAGGATACGTGATGCACCAGGGTAAGCGATACATCAGGGTACAACATACTCAAGAGTACGTGATGCACCAGGATACGTGATGCATCAGGGTAAGCGATACATCAGGGTACAACATACTCAAGAGTACGTGATGCACCAGGATACGTGATGCACCAGGGTAAGCGATACATCAGGGTACAACATACTCAAGAGTACGTGATGCACCAGGATACGTGATGCACCAGGGTATGTGATGCAACAGGATACGTGATGCACCAGGATACGTGATGCACCAGGGTGATCATACACAAGGATACGTGATGCACCCGAGTATGTGATGCACCAGGGTGATCATACACCAGGATACGTGATGCACCAGGGTCATCATACACCAGAGTATGTGATGCACCAGGATACGTGATGCACCAGGGTGATCATACAGCAGGATACGTGATGCACCAGGATACGTGATGCACCAGGATACGTGATGCACCAGGATACGTGATGCACCAGGGTGATCATACAGCAGGATACGTGATGCACCAGGATACGTGATGCACCAGGGTGATCATACACCAAGATACGTGATGCACCAGGATACGTGACGCACCAGGGTAGGTGATGCACCAGGACATACAAAGGGCATACACTTAATCACCAGTCCAAAATAGTAATATACACAGGTGGGTTATATGCTTTATACTGAGTTCTTCTAAATGTTCAGTTTACAACCTAATTCTTTCAGCGATTTTTCTATTGCCTTTTTTCTTAAGCATCACCTTTGACCAACTACTTGAATTGTCTTTGATCGATAACCTGAATGACCTTTGTCCGATTTCAAGAACGACCATTGACCGATGCCTTTGATCGACTATATGCACGTCCTTAGCCGATTATCTGATTTCTGTCAATACTTTTCAGTGATCCATTAACATTCATCGCTATTTTGTCTTTCACGTCCAATGGAATCTGTTTCAGCGAATACTCAAGATTGTTTATGCTCTGGCGCGAACGTTTTATATCATATCTAGCTACATATGGATCTACAACAAGAAAAAATACCTCTGTCTGACCACCTGAATGGTGTCATTACCCTCAGAGCCCCATTTTCTGATGTTCATTTATAATGCCAAAGTAAAGAATCTCTAATTAATGTATAAAACACTTTTAATGTTTACATGTAGCCATACCCATAATAAATATGGTGTCAATGGTATCCCAATATAGCACCAGGTTGACCATTAAGATTCGACGACATAGTTCCTGATTAATTACATCTAATACTACAATATGCGTCTCCCTTCTTTGTGTATAATACTCTCCACAGGTAAAATCGATGTTGGACAAACATCACCCACTCGTCCCCTTCGAACTATACCATTCTCCAAATCACATTCTTTCAATTTCGCAAACAGCCTCTGAAGGAATTAGTCACATTCTACATAACACTGTATCCAACATAATCTGCCGTACCATTCCAGCAATACCATTCCAGTAATACCATTCTAAAAGTCACTTTCTCTTTCACTTTCACATGTTCAGTGGAGGGAGTTATATTGATGCATGCACCTGTAATCTAAGTTTCTAGAGCAGATTATTGAACAAGTAGCAGTTTGTGTCAGTGTATCTATATTTTATATTGAACATATTTATGGATAGTTTACTGATAAGATATTGCCATTTGAATTTCTTTAATATTTAATAGTCACCACAACTTCAGCAATAAACCCCCAGTGACCTGCTTTGTTGGACAGTGCTAATTATCGGCTAGATGTAAATAACGTCGTTAAATCATTATCTGATCCTGACTAATGAGGGTTTTTTTTAAAAGAATGGAACCAAATTAATTTCCTTACCAGAACTTACAATAATGAAAGTCCTCACAAAATGTCACGACTAAAATATGCCATCTACGCTTCTTTTCCATTATGGATCTTAGTATTGCAGGTTTAGTTTGAACACGAAATATCTCCTTTTCTAAATGGCACCTAATTTGTACATATATTGTTCGTGTTGTTGAGTACACGGCAGCTGAAAATAGAACACATTTGGGATACAAATTTCAAAATCGTTTATCACCACAAAGAACATCAGAGGCACAGGTGTGACTTTTAGTATTTGAAAGGTGATTCTGTTTTCATTCAGGACAATTTGAAGGTAATGCCTTCTTGCGTGGTCTTTTTTATTTTCGTTCTTCATTCATTCATTTTTTCTTCATTTCTGCAAGTTTCTGAACAATCATGTGGTTATTATCCATGTCATTATTTACACTAACTTTAAACACGCCAGGCAGAGGGGAACAGTTGTCTGACACTACACACTAAAACAAGATGGACAACGAAAGGGGGTATCTGATGATAAATTGAGGAAAGTGCGAATGATTGAATAATGTTAAACAATAGTATTACTGGTGTTGGTTTGTATCGGCAATGTTGGAAAATACAGCACGTCTATATTCAATGACGAAATGAAGTGGATTCCGTCATTCAAGTCACCATGCTCGCATCAATGCTGTATATTATCCATCTGTCTATCAACATAACCTAATGCTTTGCACTCATAAAACTGACTAGCCGGTGTGGATATTAACATGGCGATATGCCGTCATACAGCTGGAATATTGCTGAGTGCGGCGTTAAACAGCCAACCAACCAACCAACATAGCGATATAAGTTAAATACATTTACCGATAACGGTTGATTATCAGATCCTATTTGTTTCCTAGGTGATGTCCTCGTCTATTGTAACAGCGATAAACGTTCCAAAACAAAATGCACCTTAAATATTCCCTGGGGAATTCCCTCATGAATATGCAGCATGGTGTCAGAGAGCTACGGGAAAGCCAGGAGGGGATTTTCTGCTTGATCCATATACGAGCTTGCTGTGTATATAGATATTTAGGGTGACTTCAGTGTCGTGCAGGGATGTGTATGTATGCAGTGCTACAGATCACCATCACATCTAGTGTATATCTGCAGTCGGGTACATACGTCTTGTGGTCGATATGAGCGTCCGAATGTTGGGTTTGTCTGTAACATTTTGAATTATCCCAGAACCTGGATTTGCGGTTTCATTTTCAAGAATTTTCAAAAGACTTTAATTTGAATAAAAGTGCAAGATTTGATTTCGTGTTCGAGACGTTATGATGTCTTACTTCAGCAGTAGATGTGTGGATGGTTGCACAGACGTTGATGAAGGGGACACAGCATCGGAGATGGCCACGGCAGAGATGATGAGACACGAAGCAAGGCGGCTCATGACGTACACAAAATGGCCGTCTTCATCCCCACAGGATACTGCAAGGTTAGCTGAAGCTGGTTTCTTCTACACCGGAAGTAGCGACCGGGTGAAGTGTGCCTTCTGTCTCGGAGTGCTGAAGACGTGGAATCTGGAAGATATCCCCCTCACAGAACACCGGAGTCACTTCCCTTACTGTAGGTTCCTCCAGGGTAAGGATGTTGGGAATATTCCGTTGAGGCAAACAGGCACTGAAGAGGTGACAGAAACAACATATCAACCAAACGGGAACACTTATGCTTTTGTTCCACAGTCTGCTTCAGATCCGCAGTGCGGACTCCTAGGTAATATATTACCTGTTTCACACACACCTGCAGAAGCATCCCTTGCAGGAACGTCAGCCTTACCTTCTAAACAAATGCAAGTTATTGCCTCAGAGTCTGTTCAAAACATGCTGCAACACAACACTGTGGAGACCGGTTGTACCCTCCCACACATCCAGAACCAAGCTCCTTCTGAAGCTCCACCTCCCCCTGTTGTTCCTGACTTCACTCGTGAAGTCCATCGTCTAGCAACGTTTTCCCGGTGGCCAGAAGAATCCACGGTGTTACCGGAGGATCTTGCACGTGCAGGATTTTATCACGTGCCCCAGGAAGCCAAGCCCGACCGTGTGAGGTGCGGGTACTGTGGGGGTAAGGTGTACGGGTGGCAAGCCGGAGATGACCCGTGGATGGAGCACGCCCGATGCTTCCCAACTTGCCCATACATGAGACTGTGTCTCGGAGAAGAGATGCTTCAGGACATGACAGCATACATGATGGAACCAGGCAGGTAAATCTTTCATAAACAATCTCTAATAGGATAGCCTAGAGACACAACATAGTGAGTGAGTATGGTTTTACGCCGCTTTTAGCAATATTCCAGCAATATCACGGCGGGGGACACCAGAAATGGGCTTCACACAATGTATCCATGTCGGGAATCGAAACCGGGATTTCGGCGTGACGAGCGAACGCTTTAACCACTAGGCTACCCGACCGCCCCAGAGACACAACATAAAGATGTTGGTATATTGTAGGTCATCGAGTCCAGATAATACATTTATATTTGCCATATAAAACATTCACACATAAACTTTCAAGTACTGTAGTCGACTTTCTATGGTACTCTTGAACGCATATATTGATATATCTGACAACGTGACATAGACGTATCTATCTTGGTGAAAGTGATAGTGTATCATGTGTTCGTGTTTGGTTGTTCAGTTGGTAGATGCATTAGTTAAAAGTCATTTTTACTTGATATTTTGAAATCATTGAACAATAACTCATCTACTGATTTAAGAAATAAACTATATAGCTCGCTGTTGTTTTCAACGAATCTCAGCAAAAGTAATTATCTATATTTGGTGTGGAGGCGGTCGGGCAGCCTACTGGTTAAAGCGTTCGCTCGTCCCCCGCCGTGATATTGCTGGAATATTGCTAAAAGCGGCATAAAACCAAACTCACTCACTCACTCACTGTATCTGGTGTGTTCACAATATGCTAAAATAGGTTCATGTCAAACATATGTTTCCAGTCGCTTGACTGGCAACATAATCACACCATCGTGGACATGTCGGTTGATTCTCGTGATAAAAAAGTGTTTCATATAAATTATTAACGCTCGTAGTACCAATTTTACCCTTATTACCTCTCGTGACAATACAATGCATTTTACAGTTGGTGCCCATGAGCATGCCCACCTGCCGAAATGGCCAATCCCAAATTTCACATCGGTGTTATCAGCGTTCGAAATACCTGCCTGCCAGACCGTCCTAGACGGGTTGATTTCAACTCGGGCTGTCAGATTTTCAAATCCCCCTACCCGACGGTCGGGTTATATTTCATAGGTGAAAATATTCTAAATATTTCCCGATGATAAGCATTAATTCACATGTAAATATGAATGATAAAATGTAACCAAAAAGAAACCCCGTTAGCTTTTAGACAACCTAAAATTTAGCGATGCGCTTATGCTACAAGCAATCAGTTTTGTATTTTTAATTAAATTATCCTGAGAAACATATGATTATAGTGGGCAGGCAGGTATTGGTCAGGGCTGGCAAGTATTTCAGCTAGCCAGTCCTGTGGTCTGGCTGAAATTTTTGGGAGTTTCATACCCTGGTGTTATCCATGAGGAAGACCAGCATATCATAAACTTCAGAGGATATTTGTTCATTTTTTACAAAAGTTGTCCCGAACCTTTGATGATGGAGATATAACTATATCTATTGTCAACACGTTTAGTGACAAATACCCAATGGCATAAGACATGAAGTTTTTTCTTAGGTTTGCCATATGGGATATTGGTGTACAAAGTTGAAAAATTAAATGTTTTCAATGAACTTGGTTCTTTTCTGAGATTGCAAATCTTCAAGCAGATCATTTAAGTGTTTAAACATCCAAATGGTACTTCCACATGTCTCAAATACATTTGTAATTCCTGCAAATATAAAGTAAGTATTTTATTTTTTATGATAAGATTGTATCAAGGATTATGGTTAAGCTTTGGGACAGGGATTTGGTGGTACATTTTCTGCAACTAGCAATACTGGAACTCTGCATCCAGTACCAAGAAGAATAGACGTGTTTTCATGTTTACAATGATATTTAAAAACATTATATATACAAGCAAACTATCCACCCATAACCCATTCAATTATTGCTTTTTGCAAATGCACAGCACTCAAAACATGTCTTCACTTTAGTACAGTTTCTTTTGATTATGAAAAGCATTTCGCTTCTTTAGTTTCTCGAAGCAGAAAACATTTCAAAATGACCGTGACATGGGTGTCTCCGAGACTTCCAACTTGATACATGTACATCCCCTGTAAATGCCTTCCAGACGTTTCTTATAATACAGTTGTCTGACATTTTACGCTAAGATTACTCCAATAGTGCCAACAATTTGTTACCATTCGAAGCCAAATATTATATAGTATATTAGGAGTACTTATGAGACTTTGTAGAATTATATTGAAGATAAATGTCACTTTTGTGTACGTCCAGCGCACAGTGATTTAAGAGCAAAATCTCCAAATAAATATTTCCCCCACAATGCAGATGTTGCTTTTAAAATGAAAAATCAGACATTTACCTGTGTTTATTTATCAAGCTGTGAAACTAAGAAAGTGTATGAATGTGTAACATACCCCAGACTTTCTTGCATAGGCCTTCTGCCTCATAAGTATCGTGAATATAGATAGATAGATAGATAGATAGATAGATAGATAGATAGATAGATAGATTGTCCATATTTGGTGATAGGTATATACATGATCTGGATAAAAAGTACTTTCATATTCACTTCAGTGTCTTAATAATTTACTTACAAATTAAGAACATTGACAATTTTGACTTATTACTCCATACTAAGCAAACGTTTATATCACAATAGAGAAAAAAATATGAATACAGCAATATACTGTTCCCTGACCACGACACCTCCTTTGATTGTAGCAAGAGCCATACTATATACTCTATCAACCGATCAGCCACGTGCCAAACCTTGATCCTCTGCCGTGAGGTTCGGGTACTGTAGATGCATATACTTACAGATATTATTAAACACAAATCGCTCGGCCACTAATTAATGCAGTGTAATGTACTAAACATTAACATTGCTAAAAAGTTTTCAATTTTTCGTAAACTATGTCACTTGATACGCACATTGTTCCAAATGTGGCATGTTCTGATAAGGATGCTCTACAACGCACTATGCTATCTACGTATGTTCCAGTTGCTGAGTCGGATTACAGCCTATAAGAGATCCTGGTTCAACACCCAGCATCATTACAGCCGGATGTGGACACGAGTGCCTGACCTGGCTGTAATTAGTCGGGATAACAGATTTGCGTCGTAGATGTCGTCCATGTCAAACAGCGTCGTATTTGTCGTCCACGTTAGCCATGATGGTGTTACTAAAGCTAGTTCGTGAAGGTCTTCGTGGGACAACCTCTTGTGTCAGTTGTGGTTGGAAGGATGCATTTAATGCGAACCATGATTTTCGTTATTTTGAGAGGTTAAATGTACTTTAAGAGAAACAATTGTTTATTGCGCGTGTCTGTCAACGATACATATAATTACGTGTCCTTCCCAGATAAACCTTTGATAAATATGTGCTAACATAACTGTTTATGTTCGTTCAAGAGCTGGGAAAGCCAAAGGAATAATGATGCAGGTATTACAGCCATCAATATGTTCAATACATTCCACAATCTTTCCATGGTGAGTCAACATGGTGCCAACATTTGAAATGCAGCTTTCGAGCCAATAAATGTGTTTATTTCATAAACCCATTTCCTATTACAATATGTCATGAGTGAGAGAGTGAATGAGGTTTTACGCCGCTTTTACCAATATTCCAGCAATATCACGGCGGTGGACACCAGAAATGGGCTTCACACATTGTACTCATGTCGGGAATCGAACCCGGGTCTTTGGCGTGACGAGCGAACGCTTTAACCACTAGGCTACCCGACCGCGCCTCAGTATGTCATGATGGACAACAGTTTCTGTAATCTACGGATCTGTGATCACCACCGAAACCAGGTCGCTGCGGGACACCTTCGAGCTGCTGATGCTGGGAAGGATGCTGGGGGAGGACCCAGGCAACCATAGTGGCAGTTTGAATCCCTTCATTAACCCGTGGCTAGAATCCGGACCTTCTTGGGGCTCTATAACTCTCCTGATAGGTAACTTACCTTATGGTCTTGTTGCCATTGGTCTGGTTTTTTTAAGTCGCACTCAGCAACAGTCGAGGTATATGAAGGTTGCTTGTACATATAGTCCGAACCAGATACTGGTGATTGATATTATGAACAACCTCCTATGCCCTCGGTACGATGCCATACACTCGGCCAAGTCATCGAGCAAGATCACCTGGTCCATTAAGCTGCCTCTGACCACTGGAAATAGATTGTTTGGACCTATTCTAACCAGAATCCTCTGTCGATGTCACCATTTGGAACATATGGAGAAATTAATTTAAATATGAACACATTATTATAGTAGATTGTAATGAAATGGAATCTTTACGGGCTTTTCTATGTTCGCAGAGGAACATGATCCACACACATGCAGTTTATTGATTAGAAGATTATAAAAGTAATTTCAAAATCTAATATTTGGTGAATAGTTTCCGTCAACGTTTTGTGTAGTCTGGGTATATTTTGATACCCTTCCTCCAAGCCTATTTAATTGTGTGTACTTTATAAATGAAAATGACAATCATCAAATATTTTTTTCAAATTCTAGTCTGTGCATATAATTAAAATTAGAACTTTATTAATTTAGCAAGCAAATAAAAGGTTTGAAACTTAGTTTAACGTATTTGTCAAGGATTGATTGTAGCCTGTGAATAGTATTGCCGTCAAGGCAGTTTGTTACCTACCCTGAAATATCAGTACTAGTAGGTGAGCTGATGACGAGGCGTGTTCGTTGTGAAGGCTTGCATGTGCCTTCAGCGGCTTAGGAGCTGACGGATGATGATTCCAGTCATGGTGTCTCTGAGACTGGTCACAGGAATGTAATCCGATTCTAAACATGGTCGCCTTTGCAACCATATTGATATAATGTTTGCCCATAAGCCAAACATCATTCGATGCAGTGAATAAATGGTATGCGAAATAACAAATGATACGGGTGCATTTTCACTGCTGAGCCTGTTTCCCAAAACCAACATTCGGCTTCATATACCCTAATTCAACTTCACAAGCCGTAATTCAGTTTCATATACCCATGTTTAACTTCAAATAGCCCTTTTCGGCTTCTCACACCTGCATTCAGCTTCACATATCCCAATTGAGCTTCACGTGCCCTAATTCAGCTTCACAAACCTTCATTTAGTTTTCATGCCGACATTTAAGGTTAAATAACCCCATCCAGCTTCAAACAACCCCATTCAGCTTCACACAACCCAATTCCGCTTTACACAACCCCATTTAGCTTCACACAACCCAATTCCGCTTTACACAACCCAATTCAGCTTCACAAAACCCCATTCAGCTTCACACAACCCAATTTCGCTTTACACAATCCCATTCAGCTTCACACAAACCCATTCAGCTTTACACAACCCCATTCAGCTTCACACAACCCCATTCAGCTTCACACAACACCATTCAGCTTCACACAAACCCATTCAGCTTCACACAACCCCATCCAGCTTCACACAACTACATTCAGCTTCACACAACCCCATTCAGCTTCACACAACCCCATTCAGCTTCACACAACCCCATTCAGCTTCACACAACCCCATCCAGCTTCACACAACTACATTCAGCTTCACACAACCCAAATCAGCTTCACACAACCCCATTCAGCTTCACACAACCCCATTCAGCTCTACACAATCCCATTCAGCTTCACACAACCCCATTCAGCTTCACACAATCCCATTCAGCTTCACACAACCCCATTCAGCTTCACACAACCCCATCCAGCTTCACACAACCCCATTCAGCTTCACACAAACCCATTCAGCTTCACACAAACCCATTCAGCTTCCACACAGCTTGTTTTACTGCATCAACTTCTTCTCTGGATGTATGAAACGGACACATATTGTGAATTACATTTAGGTCTAACTACTGTAAATTGGTAGGTCAACTCTAAGATAAAAGTTGGGATCTTTAAATCCACTGTGTCCATCCAATTCTCCATTGTTCAGATCTTTGTCTGCAGGTTGCCTTGTCTGTCAGTCACTAGTCAAACATGTAGAAGTATCTTCTAAGAATGAACAGAATCACAGAATTCGTTGGTGACCGACCCTTCTTAACCCTTACAGTCACACAGTTAATGAACATGAACACACTGTACCATGTGCAGGAAGAGGGGTTCAATTTAAACCCGCCAGATCAAGCAGCGACAGCAAGGGTGTGCTTCAGGTGGGGAATCAAACCCAAGACTTGATTTCTACTACCCAATTGTCCCTCCGGGTCCTGGAGACCAAGAGAGTAACTGATAGGGATCACGGGAATAACACGTGTTTGGTATTGTCATTGACATTGGTACTTATCTTCATGACTGTCATACTCCAGGACTTTGCTAGCAGTTAACAAATATTATTTTTTATATCCAAGAACACGAAATGCCATCAATCTTTTGTGAGGTCCACTCTTAGGACTTTTACGGATTATTATTGGTCAAAATATATATTTTCAGACTTTCGGAGCTTCTCAAAGAATGTGAAACATAGATTGAAAGTCACATGCTAATTGGAGTGTTTCTTTGTGTGCTTATGACAGTCATTGAGTGAGAGAGTTGATTTTACAATGCTGTCAAATGCATTGTAGTTACAACAGATTGTATCAGCTTGAAGTGATGCAGGTCACATTCATTTATCACAGAAACCCACAAACAAGGGACAGTGCTGAACATGCTGAAAGACCTGGAAACCTGATCGTGGTACATCTAGCCTTCAAACCCACGATCATGTTTCTGGCACAGTGAATTGCGGCAACTTTGATGACTGGACCAACAATGCTTCCTGATGTTGAAAGAAGTACAACACATTGTATTGATCATAACTTTAACTTGTAAACAGGTTGAGAGGGTGCAAAGAAGGAAACGTAGCCATACATTCCTGCAACATCTAAGGTAGAGGACATCTTGGATCAAGTCTTTGATAGGCATTTAGAAGTTGGAAAGACATGTAGACATTAAACTTTTATTTAATAACTTCATTATTGATTGTAACGATGTTTCAGGGTTCTCACCCCTTCATCAGGTGAATACTGAGTAGGTGTATTGAATTGTGCTGTTACTCTTTATACAGATATGGAACACAATCATTCAAGGCCTTTTCAATGCTTTTCAAGGCTGCAAACTGTCATTTTCAAGTCTTTTTAGTTGGGTTAAAAGCCTTAGTCTGTCAATATTTTATTAAATCCAGCATACTATATATTGGTTGTAAAACCTAAACAAAAGTGTGACCATCACATTTTCCAACAAGATTTATTTTTGGCACACAAATCTATCACTGTGATAAATCTTTCTTGAACATCTTTGGTACACATTTTTGTGTGCTTTAATACTTTCATAAACAAGTAAAAGCCATTTAGTACAATTTCAAGGCTTTTAGGCCCATGTGGGTGATTTTCAATGCTTTTCAAGGTTGACACTATAAATCTATGCTTTTCAAGAGTGACCTTAAATTTCAAGACTTTTTTCAAGCCTGTATGAACCCTCATAAAGTTTCACGTCTTCATGGTTACCTTTGATGTTGGTTTGACTTGCAGTGAATCCAGTTAAGGGCAACTCTCATCTCACAGAAAGCACATCAACACAATCAATAGGATAAATGCAGTTTATTTACATATGATATAACTGTTTATACAAGTTCCTATGTGCAAATAAATTAGATAATGTAATGTAATATGATGGATACACTTCATATCTCACCCAGCTCATATAGCACTAGCATGCCAGGTCTAGCTACAGAACTCAAGAACTCAAACCTAATGCTGATGTAACAAACACAAATAGAAACAAATATATAACAGAAAAGGAAGATAATAACTTAATATTTTTGGTTAGCAATATATTACTTATTCCTTCTTTGAGTGGCATTTAGAAGTTGGAGTGATAAAGTAAGACGAGTTCTATGGATGAACAACTTCTTTATTACAATTGGTGTGACGTTTCGGTGTAGATCCTAACACCTTTATCAAGCAAGTGATGATGAATGATGATGATGCTTGATAAAGGTGTTAGGATCTACACCGAAACGTCGCACCAATTGTAATAAAGAAGTTGTTCATCCATAGAACTCGTCTCACTATATTACTTATTGTATTTATTTCATCAATTTATTTTCCAACAGCTGTAACGTTTAGAACAAGGTTCCTGAAAAGTGATATTTTATTTCTTCAGGTCAAGCTTTATTATTTGCTCAGCTGGGCCCAAAATACACATTTATCACTTTTAGTACAGAAAAATAATAACTTTTTTAAAAATTACCCACAACTAGTTTTTTTCTTAACAATGAACATTGCTTGTCATGGTTGTATATACTGAATAAAAATCATGATAACAGGACACCAATTTGAATCAATTTAAAGCATGCTGATTCAAAACAAACTGAATTGTTTGTTGGTGGCCTGAAATATTCTCTTTAACAAGGTTAAATTCAAACAACATGTTGCAATCATCATCTCACAACCAAGGCCCAATACACATATTCCCAGAAAAGGAAAACATCCTACCGTACTTATTACATGTTTTCTTGCATGTTATTTCACTCGAGTAAAATACTGAATTTATGTTTTCAGAAAAATATAGTATTTCATCACTGTATTCATAATAAATCTATAAACATTGACCCTTCCTCAACCCAGCCCATAGCCTCATAGCCTCATAGCATGATCACACAGCTTCATAGCATCTTCATAATATTACAGTACAACAGGATCCACTTGCACAAAGCGATCTTAGCGCTAAGATGATCGTAACTCCCATACTTTAACATAGGCTTACAATAGCTGTAGTGCTAAGATTGCTTTGTGCAAATGGGCCCTGGTCTTCGTGATACAACTTGTAAGTAATATCTCACTAAAATAAAACCTTCAACTTTCAAATGTCATGGGAGGGGGGCAGAAAATTAAAAATTGCATATTTTAAGCAAAGTAAGCAACATGCCATCCATTCGTAAAAAAGCCTTAAAAAATAAAACCTATAGAAACCCTCAAAGAATCAGTTCTTTCATGCATACCCATCTAAAATAATCAAAAGATCATATATCACAAAATAAATGCAATCATTTCAATAACTTCAGATCAAGATTAGCTAAAGATGTTGATAAATATCGTTTCTCTATCTACAGGGATAGATTCATGATTTAACAACACTGATCAATGTAACCACGGTAACATTGCTCTGGACACAAGATGATGACTAGTCCATGACGTGCATCAGGATGCCATGTTGAATGTAGATTGATCACCGCACTGACATCTGTCTATCCTCGAAAGAAAATCAAGCTTAAATGAAAAAGCAAACGAAACACTTTAAAAAGACACTCATGTGGTACAAACATTAGACATGATATAGGCTGTGTCAGTTTAGTTCTATCAAATAGAATTCTTACTCATCAACAAAACATTATTTTCTGAAATATCGCAAGGGAAATACCTCCTCTTTAGAAACATTTTAACAACGATGTAAATTTAAACAAATAATTCTAAACATGAAACTAAATCATTTTTTTAGTTTATTGTTAGATAATGAAATATATACACAAGTATAGTATATATTATATCATACATCATTATTTTGTAATATACCGTATTCGACGTAATAAGCGCCCAGGGCGCTCTCAAAATAAAATAGGGGGCTCTTATTAGAATATAATATTGGTGAAAGAGTCGAAAGATCGTAAATTTTATGGTTTCTGCTGACAGCCTGAAATAATACAAAAGAAAAGTCTGCGTGTTATACACGACAGATATATTTTTCCAGAATTTATTACGTCGAATACGGTAAATGATTTTAATATTAAAGAAATTTCAATCAAAATTTAGACTTTCTTGGTCAAATCATGAATTGGCAATTTATTCACTGTGTGCTCTGAAATAAACACATCAGTGAAATATTTAAAGACTTAATATCACGTGGGTTAACTGTGGCGCTGTACCTGATGCTGTGTGACACGGACACAACACACAGCTATAAACAGCATATATCACAGATGTGCACACCACAGCCACGTCACCCTCCGCTGGTAAAAATAGTGCAGAGTAACGGGAAACACAGCAGGGGATTTTGTGTGCAGCGACACTGCTCTACAGGAATCAACACGTAACAAGGCAGGTCACACAAAGCCCTCTCATATAGCTGGCAATTGGGAGCAGAATTTTTAAAACTATTATATACAGAGTTTGAAATTAAGCATGAATGTCAGGGGCTCCTTATCATATATAATGTTAACATATGGCAATTAGGAGTAGAATTTTTGAAAATAATATTTACAGTATTTGGAATTAACCATGAATGTCTCGGGGTCCTTATCATATATAATGTTAACATATGGCAATTAGCAGTAGAATTTTTGAAACTATTATTTACAGTATTTGGAATTAACCATGAATGTCAGGGGGTCCTTATCATATATAATGTTAACATATGGCAATTAGGAGTAAAAAATTTTTAAAAATAATATTTACAGTATTTGGAATTAACCATGAATGTCAAGGGGTCCTTATCATATATAATGTAAACATATGGCAATTAGGAGTAGAATTTTTGAAACTATTATTTACAGTATTTGGAATTAACCATGAATGTTTAGGGGTCCTTATCATATATAATGTAAACATATGGCAATTAGGAGTAGAATTTTTTAAAATATTATTTACAGTATTTGGAATTAACCATGAATGTCAAGGGGTCCTTATCGCATATAATGTTAACATTTCAATATTTAGGCTGTCCCTAGATTCAAATAAAGAAGACTTCAAGGACCCCACAGCCTTTTTGGTTTGTCACTGAATAACTGCTACAATAGGTTCTGACAAAGTCATGTTGGAATGACGTTTCTTTTAACCAAGATGCATCTGCTGCACTTAAATGGTGATTGTCATCTGAAAGGGAACTATTTTCATGGCAACAAATTTTATATAACAGTTTTGAAATCATCATGAATTTGAATAGGTACTCAATTGATGTACAATGCTTGGATGAACACTACCAAACGGAAAGTAGGAAACAGCTCACTTTCATCTTCAGAGTGGTTCCATTGTTGTCAGTGATAAAAAATGTCAATGTGTCTACTACTTCAAGCATCCTCATTACCAGACAGGGCAATCAAACAGTCATATCTCTTCATATCAAGCATAGCATAGGTTCACAAATAACATTGTACACAAGAAACTAAAAGGTAGTGGTAATCAACCTAATAAATTAACTACCCTAATCTTAGCTGAAACAAACTTTACTACCATCCATTAGCAACCCACACACCTTACATCATGTTCAATCATGTAAACTGCAACAAGTTTTAAGTATAGATTCAGAAGTATTGTATTGATTATAGAAAATGAAGCATAACTGACTACCTTGATGGAAATATATAATTAAGACTTTGTTTAAGATTTGACTATATCACACACCACCAAGCCTGTATACAGAGTGACCATATCACACACAAGCAAGCCTGTATACAGAGTATGTACATTGCACAGTAGACAGAAGGCTGGACAGCACACCTGAGGTAATGGTACAGTCGTCTGGTGTACAACAGTTAATGAAGACAAAAGCTCATCCACTGGTTTGAAGTACTTCATGAATAAGAGATCCATCTGTAAGTTAGTCGTGCTGTAGGTAGTATCATCCATCCGGGTCGGACCCTTCGATACTAGACACGGTGGTATACAAGACAGTATAGTTGACCATCTCTGTGATGACTCAGACAGTGTTAGCTTATTGCATAAATATATGATGGTAGGGCTCGAACGATCTACTGCCTCATGACAAGTTTCTGACACACTTCGTTTCTCATGATTAATATCTGCCAGAAGGTTCACAACAAGAAACAGTAGCATTGTAAAAGTTCACTTCCGAGGACTGATCACAGCAATGCCAATCATCCAAGTGTCTTGACAACCTCTATAAGGAGCAATGCCACTCATCCAGGCATCTTGATAACCTCTATAAGGAGCAATGCCACTAATCCAGGCATCTTGATAACCTCTATAAGGAGCAATGTCACTGATCCAGGTGTCTTGATAACCTCTATAAGGAGCAATGCCACACATGTAGGTGTCTTGATAACCTCTATAAGAAGCAATGCCACACATCCAGGTGTCTTGATAACCTCTATAAGTACCAATGCCACCCATCCAGGCATCTTGACAACCTCTATAAGGAGCAATGCCACACATGTAGGTATCTTGATAACCTCTAAAAGGAGCAATGCCACACATGTAGGTGTCTTGATAACCTCTATAAGGAGCAATGCAACACATGTAGGTGTCTTGATAACCTCTATAAGGAGCAATGCCACACATGTAGGTGTCTTGATAACCTCTATAAGGAGCAATGCAACACATCTTGATAACCTCTATAAGGAGCAATGCCACACATCCAGGCATCTTGATAACCTCTATAAGAAGCAATGCCACACATCCAGGCATCTTGATAACCTCTATAAGAAGCAATGCCACACATGTAGGTATCTTGATAACCTCTATAAGGAGCAATGCAACACATCCAGGCATCTTGATAACCTCTATAAGGAGCAATGCAACACATGTAGGTATCTTGATAACCTCTATAAGGAGCAATGCAACACATCTTGATAACCTCTATAAGGAGCAATGCCACCCATCCAGGCATCTTGACAACCTCTATAAGGAGCAATGCAACACATGTAGGTATATTGATAACCTCTATAAGGAGCAATGCAACACATCCAGGCATCTTGAAAACCTCTATAAGTAGCAATGCCGTACATGTAGGTGTCTTGATAACCTCTTTAAGGAGCAATGCCACACATGTAGGTATCTTGATAACCTCTATAAGGAGCAATGCCACCCAAAATGCAACACATGTAGGTGTCTTGATAACCTCTATAAGGAGCAATGCCACCCATCCAGGCATCTTGATAACCTATGTAAGGAGCAATGCAACACATGTAGGTGTCTTGATAACCTCTTTAAGGAGCAATGCCACACATGTAGGTATCTTGATAACCTCTATAAGGAGCAATGCCACCCAAAATGCAACACATGTAGGTGTCTTGATAACCTCTATAAGGAGCAATGCCACCCATCCAGGCATCTTGATAACCTATGTAAGGAGCAATGCAACACATGTAGGTGTCTTGATAACCTCTTTAAGGAGCAATGCCACCCATCCAGGCATCTTAATAACCTCTATAAGGAGCAATGCAACACATGTAGGTGTCTTGATAACCTCTATAAGGAGCAATGCCACCCATCCAGGCATCTTGATAACCTCTATAAGGAGCAATGCAACACATGTAGGTGTCTTGAGATCTGTATATACATACAGAGCAATGCCATGCATCAAGGTGTCTTGACCACCCAGTGGATGTATATTGACCCCCCTGCTGCAACAAACTCTATCAAGCTGATGTGAAGCCGTCTCATTGCTTGTACCATATACTTCACATGGTACACTGGAACAAGCTTGTCATGGTCCCTATGTCTGTTGCTAACTCACAATGCATACATTCATTCCACATGATACAACCTTGCGAAAGTGCTGGCACCAGTGTCTGCCAATCAACTTGTTACATGACATATGGTAATTATGATCAAGTGTACACGCTACACATGGTACAACCTTGTTATGATACTGGCTCCAGTGTCTGATGGAGCCCGATACAACCCACATCCATTCCTATGGTACACAGGTACATGGTATATGATACATGATACAACTTGGTTGATGGAACAGACACTCATTGAACATAACGGGCTCACATGACACCGTTGTGATAGAAACTGTGGTCCTCAGGAGCATCTCCACTCCCTAACTCCCTGATTAAGTCCAACACTGTTACTCTTGAGAGGAATACACACATTGTCAACCGATCCTGAAAATTTCCACAAGTAATCAAACCAAAGGAACACACACTTGAGGAAACCTAGAAGTTACGGTCACATGTACATGGTGAAAATGGTCATTCCAAGTCACATCACAAGGGCATTATCCACCCAGGATTCTGAGTCCCTCACACACAGACCAACTAATGATGACAAGACTGGGAGTCCTGAAGCTGCTGCTTGTGTTGATGTCAGAGTTGGACCAAGGAGAGAGACTCAACCATTAATTCCTTGATATGATCCACACAGAGTCTTCCACACCAAGATCATTTCAGCATTATCAACTGGCCAGTCACAAGACACACCTCAGGAGAAATATGCTTGGAGACATATCCAGTCAGTGATGACAGAGTACAAGATACATCTCAGGAGAAACATACTTGGAGACACATCCAGTCAGTGATGGCAGAGTACAAGACACATCTCAGGAGAATCCTACTTGGAGATACATCCAGTCAGTGATGACAGAGTACAAGACACACCTCAGGAGAATCCTACTTGGAGACATATCCAGTCAGTGATGGCAGAGTACAAGACACATCTCAGGAGAATCCTTCTTGGAGACACATCCAGTCAGTGATGGCAGAGTACAAGACACACCTCAGGAGAATCCTACTTGGAGACATATCCAGTCAGTGATGACAGAGTACAAGACACATCTCAGGAGAATCCTACTTGGAGACACATCCAGTCAGTGATGGCAGAGTTCAAGACACATCTCAGGAGAATCCTACTTGGAGACACATCTAGTCAGTGATGACAGAGTACAAGACACACCTCAGGAGAATCCTACTTGGAGACACATCCAGTCAGTGATGGCAGAGTACAAGACACATCTCAGGAGAATCCTACTTGGAGACACATCCAGTCAGTGATGGCAGAGTACAAGACATCTCAGGAGAATCCTACTTGGAGACACATCCAGTCAGTGATGGCAGAGTACAAGACACATCTCAGGAGAATCCTACTTGGAGACACATCCAGTCAGTGATGACAGAGTACAAGACACATCTCAGGAGAATCCTACTTGGAGACACATCCAGTCAGTGATGGCAGAGTACAAGACACATCTCAGGAGAATCCTACTTGGAGACACATCCAGTCAGTAATGGCAGAGTACAAGACACATCTCAGGAGAATCCTACTTGGAGACACATCCAGTCAGTAATGGCAGAGTACAAGACACATCTCAGGAGAATCCTACTTGGAGACACATCCAGTCAGTGATGGCAGAGTACAAGACACATCTCAGGAGAATCCTACTTGGAGACACATCCAGTCAGTAATGGCAGAGTACAAGACACATCTCAGGAGAATCCTACTTGGAGACACATCTAGTCAGTAATGGCAGAGTACAAGACACATCTCAGGAGAATCCTACTTGGAGACACATCCAGTCAGTGATGACAGAGTACAAGACACACTTCAGGAGAATCCTACTTGGAGACACATCCAGTCAGTGATGGCAGGTTCTGTGAGGGAGAATGGATTCACACAGCTTTTAGCAATAGTCCAGCAGTATCACCAGGACCCATGTTGGGAATCAAACTCAGCATGATGAATGCACACTTTAACCACAAGGCTACCCAACTGTTCAAGTCAACGATGAAGTAGAACACCACAGATGATTCCAACATGCCACACTTCTCACCAAGCACCACTCCTACAGTGCAAGCAAGACCATAACTGATCCCACCATGTGAGACTTGTTTTCTGTCTGCCACACTTCTCACCAAGCACCGCTCCTACAGTGCAAGCAAGACAATAGCTGATCCCACCATGTGACACTTGTCTGTCTGCCACACTTCTCACCAAGCACCACTCCTACAGTACAAGCAAGACCACAGCTGATCCCACCATGTGAGACTTGTCTGTCTGCCACACTTCTCACCAAGCATCTCTCCTACAGTGCAAGCAAGACAATAGCTGATCCCACCATGTGAGACTTGTCTGTCTGCCACACTTCTCACCCACCATCTCTCCTACAGTGCAAGCAAGTCCATAGCTGCCCATCTATGTCCCATCCTGGGTAAGCAGTAATTCATATAATTGCCTTATAATTTTTATGAACTTTCCATAAAATGCAATGATGACTCCACTAGGGGGATGTTCAGTGGCAAACCATTCTGGTTTAAAATTCTACACAACGTATCTGTTCGAACATCCAAGCCTCTAGGCCATATTGGGTAGAAAAGCAGATACATACTGGGATGTTCCTGAAGAACCAGACACACCATATGATGTGACACACAAACTCTTGGCTGGACATGTCTGAAACGTCCACACTGTCTTCTCATGCAACACCTCCATGTAGACACACTCCACACAATGTTTCACCTCCACATGGAGCAGGTCCAAAGTAGATATGGCTGAAGAGGATGATAATGAACTCCTTTGGTGTAGATTCCAGACTATATATGACTGACTGAGTGATTAAGTACTTCCAACAGTGTGTGATCTATGTGTGACATGACAGCCCTCCTCCATACAGCAGCACCCTGTGGTTTGATTACATCTCTCTGCAACATACAAGTGTTTACATCTTTAATTCCAGCATTACTAGCAATCATGTATCAAAAATTGCAAGGAATGTTGGAAAGCATTAAAAATATCCATGTTAACATATTTTGTATAGTGAGTGAGTGTGGTTTTATGCCGCTTTAGCAATATTCCTGCAATATCACGCCGAGGGACACCAGAAATGGGCTTCACACATTGTACCCATGTTGGGAATCCAACCCAGCTCTTCGATGCGACGGGAAAATGCTTTAACAACTAGGCTACCCACCCCTATTTTGTATAGAGAGTGAGTGAGTGAGTTGGGTTTAATACCGCTTTGAGCAGTTTTCCAGTTATATCATGGCATGTCAGCTTAATGTGGGAGTAAAGACCGAAGTGATGCAGGATGGATACATATCTCACAGAATTCAAGACAATAAAACAGCATGAAGACGAAGATTATGATCAACAGTTAATCCTTGGTTGTGAACATAGTTTAATTGTTACAATCCACTTGCCAATATCACATGTAAAGCTTAAATAAGTAGAAGAGAAATACACACACCAAAAACATATCCAGAATGTTTGTTCCTATGAGTTATAATCAATGGATTGATTCCTCCCTAATTGTATACAAGCGATGGGGAAACCACAGACATAATGTTATGCCTGACAGAGTTGCCTCCCTTCCCCAGTCAAATAAATTGTGTCCTTGCCTATGGTATTACATGTTCTTCAGTTTCAACAGTGCTCTGTGTCTTTACTAGTTGTTTGTAACCCATTCTGCCCAGGTTTCAGTACAAACTCTTCGATCATCACCATACATGATCGTTATCTTTACATGCTTCATAGAAGCTAGTCATTTGTCATCTAAATTGGCTAAAGGTCTTGTAACTTAATTTAATTTCTAATCAGATATTTTGCAGAAATGCTGCCATGGGGAACAAGCACATCATTTTTGACAATCAATATTACCAATCAATATTACCAATCAGTGTTTCAAATAAAGCATGGACATCAGAACCCAAATGTTACTGTGACCAAGTTAAGTTTTAAGAATTTGTACATATTAGTTACTGTTAGATATTTTCATCTTCCCTAGGCAAGTGAGTTAACTGACTATAAAAGTCCAGTTTCCACCCTTGCCGAACTAGGCTGGTATTATGGAGTTACATTTTGGCTGGACTACTAGTCTATGCATAGTCCAATCAAAATCGCGCACCAAAATCGAAATCCGGTTTGTAAAGTGTCATGCATAGTTCGGTCGACTGCAGGATTTGCAAAGCATGTGCACCGCTAACTCGTCAACAAATATTTTCTATATCTTTTCATGTTTTTAATCAAGGTGCTCACGTGATTTGATGCACTTCGCGATGTAAGAATCATTTGATCACAATATAGATCTTGATTATCGATCAGATCGTCTTGACTGGGTGCCACTGTTTTGTTTGAAGCAAATGCTAGTGATACGAGAGGTTGAATCTGATTGGTCCATAGGAGAGGCATAGAAAGGACATTACTCGTAACAGCCACTAGTGGCGCTACGGTTGAGCCCAGGAATTCCAGCCTAGTTCGGCAAGGGTGGAAACTGGACTTTTAAAGTCAGTTAACTCTCTTGCCTCGGGAAGATGGATATTTTAGATGTTTCATTTCAGCTTTTAACTTTACATACTGTACACTACAAACCCTTAGAGTTATACAAGCCCTCAATACAATAAGCCTTGCCCTATTGTATTTCTTAAAACGTGTTAGATTAATGCATCAGTGTACAATTAAACTATAGCTGGTGGTTAATGTAAAGTATGGATTTCAACCTTCAGTACAGATGGTTGTATGTGGAATATAATTCATTTAAATCTAAACTGTATCATATAGCATCAATACAATATGTTATCTAGTTAAATACTCTATTACCAGTATAAACTTTACTGAACTAAATTGTTATTTAAACCAGTGGTAGAAACTAACATTTTAGTTCACTAGTACTTATAATGATAGCATATAGCAAAACCCTTAAAATGGCAAATTTCTACTTGTCCTTATGATACCTTAGTCATTGGGCAGTTTGGCAAGGACTACAGGAATAGTGCCAGTTTCTAAAGCTGATAACCATTTCCTAAACCTTTAACTGTATAAATGCAGTATGGAATAACATGTTGTTTTATATGGCCATTATTAGTATTAGTATTGTCAAGGTTTATTTCAACTTCTTATAGAATGACGTGACCTTAACCAACCCTTGAACGTGAGAGAGAGAGATTCACATAGTGTTCACAAATGGTAATTTTATATAGTTATTCAGTAAATAGTTTACAACCTTATTTAACCTACCGTATTCGACGTAATAAGCGCCCACGGCGATATTTGCTAATATATTGGCTAGTGAACAATCCCAATTAGCACTCCTTCCGATTGATCAATGTACACAAGACTTATTTATTCGCGTTTAATACGCACTCGTGTATTTTATGCATTCTTAATTATGGGCAATTAAAATTCTGGAAAAATGTAGCTGTCGCATATAAACAGTTCAGATTGTCAGCATAAACCACGAAATTTATTTTTCAACTCTGTTTTTTCCACCAAAAATAATATTCTAATAAGAGCACACTATTTCTAATTTTGAGAGCGCCCTGGGCGCTTATTATGTCAAATACGGTGTTTAACCTATTTAAGAATTTATTCATGCTGGTGCTTATGTGCTAGACCCCTGACCCCTAACAAGTCAGGCATGGGCAGATACAGACCTCTGAGACGTCATGGACACAGCTACTCGACACCAACTTTGGATATCAGCTCATCACAAATTGCTGTCAATTCCTGATTTTCCTTCACCTGTAATAAAGATGGATTAAAACAAATTACCGTATTTTATACACAAAACTGTCACAGCACATTAGAACAACTCAATTTCTAGATAACCAAGCAAATGTACTTGTGACATATTCTTTTACACCCATTACCTTTCAAGAATGTGGTTGCATTAACATCTAACAGACCTCACTGAACAAAAAGTAAACATAATATGTCGATGTGTGAGTGAGTGAGTTTGGTTCAACTCTGCAGCATTCCAGTTATATCACGGTATGTCAGCTTAATGTGGGAGTCAGAAGTGATGCAGGTCTCAGACATGTACCACCCAGGTGTGGTGCTGACAATTCGGGCATGCCCAAGTGATGCAACACAGCCTCTTGCGGTGCCATAGATGGCTGGGCCACCCATGACCGAAAAATGTCAATGAAGTTATTGTATTCTCAAAGGGCGGACACAATTTTACTTTCGCCATGTCAACTGATGTTTCTGAATGTCCTACCTTTTGTTCTAAGCTCTTTTCCAGACTTGATATCTGCAGTTCGGCCTTCTTGAGACCGGCCTGTAGCCGCGCCATCTCCGACATGTGGCCTTTCCTTTCCTTCTCGATCTCCACGTTAGCACTGCAAAATAACACACCAGTCAGTCAGGGAGTTTCGATAAGTCACGCTGTGTCAGCACAACGGAAGAAGATCAACAGGTTCCCACCTTTTTGAAGCCACTAACACAAGCATGGTGCTGACATACCAAAGATCATAATAATTGTGATGTGGCCATTCAAACCCATGACCATCTAATCAACACTCTGCAAGCAAAGAAAAGATAACGAAGGGACACAACTCTGCATGTAGAAGACGGCTAAGGGACATAACTCTGCATCCACTAGATGACACAAATCTGCATGTGGAAACAGCGAAGGAACACTTCCGTTTGCAGAAGAAAGCTAAGGGACACAACTCTGCATGTAGTAGACAGCTAAGGGACATAACTCTGCATGCAGTTGACAGTGAAGGGACACAACTCTGAATGCAGTAGACTGATGGGACAACTCTGTATGCAGTTGACAGTGAAGGGACACAACTCTGCATGCAGTAGCCTGATGGCACAACTCTGTATGCAGTTGACAGTGAAGGGACACAACTCTGCATGCAGTAGCCTGATGGCACAACTCTGTATGCAGTTGACAGGGAAGGGACACAACTCTGCATGCAGTAGACTGATGGGACAACTCTGTATGCAGTTGACAGTGAAGGGACACAACTCTGCATGCAGTAGACTGATTGGACAACTCTGTATGCAGTTGACAGTGAAGGGACACAACTCTGCATGCAGTAGACTGATGGAACAAAGCTGTATGCAGTTGACAGTGAAGGGACACAACTCTGCATGCATTCGACTGATGGGACAACTCTGTATGCAGTTGACAGTGAAGGGACACAACTCTGCATGCAATAGACTGATGGGACAACTGTATGCAGTTGAGAGGGAAGGGACCCAACTCTGCATGCAGTATAGGCATGCAGCTGAGAGTTCATTTGTAGGAGAACATGTAAACAGGGTATTTTGTTCAACTATTGAAAATTGCTATCAATCCAAGCCTTGTGCACACATGGAAGATGTCTACTTCTGGGCAATGAAACCCCTTCTCTTGATTTTACAACAGCCGAGTCAGATTATATTATTTGGACTGGTCTATAACATGTTAATGTAAATTATGTAATCCTCACATGAAATCATGACCAGATGTTTAATGAGAACAAGTCAGAAACCAGGAGCACACAATAATGTGTTAACATTCGCTGATAATTCAATCATGAAAGCAAGTACAATGACATGGCAAAGATCCCCAAAATACTCACTGGTCCAACTTCTCTTCAGCTTGCTGTTTTAACAACTGTAACTTTTGTTCTGACTTTTTCAACTTCGCTTGATAATCTGACACACACTTTTTCAAAACCTCTTCATTCTGTAAACAAATTCAGTGAAGTCAAGTCACAATCTGCTATTCAGCACATCAAAATTGACAGCAAAACCTATGCTTGTTGTTTCCAGTAGAATTTTCTAGACTAATAAAAAAAAATGTAACAAAAGAGTTAACATAAGAATAGTACTGTTTAATGTTAGTCCTTAGAAAATAATAATGAACTGGTGGACTGTCAACTTAAAACTTTAACTCCTGACCATCGGGTGTGCTATATTTCAAAACTGACCATCCGTCAGCAAAATAGACCATGTCGGACTGACTTGGAGGCGGGTTTTTAGAAACTGTTAGTAATAAAACCTATCTTCTACTGACATAATTAGTCTCAGAAGTGGCAGCATTTCAGTCCAGTTTTCAACAATGGCTTTATCAATTTGGAAGTTTGTTAACTCAAGATTATCTTAATCAGTATGAACATGCATGGTTCCGACCTGTTTGAATCCCTCCACAACCCCTTTCGTCTTCTCGTAGCGCTGATGCAGGTTGGAGAAGGCCGTCTCCACGGAGTGAAGGTCATCAAGCACCTGCTCCTTCTCCCGAACGATGTCCTGCAGCGACTGCTGGGACGCGTTGCACGTCTTCTCCTTCTCCGCTGTAAGATACATGAAACATATAGACACATATGAAGACACATGTACACCCGTATACAGCCCGCACATATGCATGTGTATATGACACATACATAACACATGTACACATACATTTAACACACATTTACAAACATCTATACAACAAGGATGACACATGTACACCACAAGTATTAATCAAATACACCTACATACATGGGAATGAGTGAGTATGGTTTTACGCTGCTTTTTGGAATATACCAGCAATATCACGGCGGGGGACACAAGAAATGGGCTTCACTCATTGTACCCATGTGGGGAAACTAATATGATCATTTACATCTGAAGAGAGTCTGGCAGATTAACATATCACTAACAACTATACCAGAACTTCTCAATCCCTTACTCAAAGTCAATCTTACTTAACCTTCAACTTACCTTGCAGTTGGGAAATTGTCTTTTCAAATTCAGAAACAATTGCTCTGTAACAGAACAAAATAAGCTTATAGTCACATGAAACATCTTAATTACCGTCCACCATGCAATACAGCAACCACCTGCACTGCTGCCACAACAGCACAACACTGGGCCGGAAGATTCATTCATCAGGGTACTGGCAGTGGTCACAGACAAGCGATATGCATGGGTACACGTTTCAAAATGTCCATATGTGTAAATAACATGTCAGCGTTAGAAATTGTCACTAGTCCAAAAGGGCTTGCCAAACTGCCCAATAGTTTTGCTATATGTCCTCATTATAAGGACTAGTAGACAAAACCTGTTAGTTTCTATTGCTACATGATGTTATATTCTACAACGATTTGTATCAGGTGGATCCTCCTTGTTGTGTCCTCACACATGTGGAGTGAGAAATGGGTATTCCAGCAATATACTGAGGCCTGTAAGAGCAAAGCAAACCAGTTGTTGACAGCATTAGCAACAATCCCATCAGTTGGTTTGGTTGGTTTGTTGTTTAACGCCGCACTCAGCAATATTCCAGCTATATGTCTGTGGTCTGTAAATAATCGAGTCTGGACCAGACAATCCAGTGACTAATGTCGGGATTGTTGGGATCGATGACATGCATCAACCAAGTCAGCGAGCCAGACCACCCAATCCCGTAAGTCGCCTTTTACGACAAGCATAGTCACCTTTTACGGCAAGCATGGGTTGCTGAGGACCTATTCTACCATCAGTGTGGGAACGAGAACTAAATCTTCCATGTCACACATCGTAACAACCCATTCCTCAAGTCTCACACCCAACATGGAGGGACCACCCAATCCTCAAGTCTTAAACCAAACACCAAAGGATCTACTCTCTCCTCCCTTATAAGAGATAGTCAACAATCCCATGTGTTTCCCTGCACCTGATGCACCACTTACTTCATCTCCTCATTGGTCTGCTTGAGTCCACGGTTATTCTCCTCGACGTAGCCCATCTTCTTTTCTCGGTCGCCCAGCTTCTTGCTCCACTCCTTCTCCTTCTGCAGCAGCTGGGCCTGGAAACTCAACTCCAGGTCCTGCTTCATCTTGTTCCAGTCGGTCTGCGAGTACTTCAGCACCTACACAACAACACTCAGTTACCTCCCTTGATACACCTGCAGAACACTCAGTTACCTCCCTTGATCCACAACTTGTCACAGGTCAAGTCTGACAGAACTGCCTGCACAGTCTGTTCAGTCATACATAATCCATGAGCCCTATCTTGTTCCTTGTAAACATAATATCTGATGTTTACAATAACTGTCTATCTCAGATCAAGTCTAATTTTGTTGTCTTTCACATATGAAGTGTGCAGTAAATGAGAATTCTGGAATACTTGACATAGTTTGATGGATAGATTGGTTGGTTGGTTTGTTGTTAAATGCCGCACTCAGCAATATTCCAGCTATATGATGGCGGTCTGTAAATTATCCATGGATAGAGGTGAGGTGAGGTGAAATGGGGTTTAACATTGTGTCCAAGATCATTGCACTTATATAGCAACGTGCATGAATGCATGTGTGTTTGTGTGGCTGCTTTTACTAGTTCAGACTGATGCCGATTTATAGCCCACTGAGATACCATGCCGCAGTTAAACATGAATACCCAACTCAGACACAGTATACTGACTCCGAGCCAACCAGTCCTTGTTTTAGCCCCTTAATGCCAGACAGAGTAACAACAAGTACCATCTTTTAACATCTTTTGGTATGACGCGTCTGGGGATCAAACCCCGGACCTTCCGCTCTCCAGGTGGACGATCTACCACCAGACCACGGACAGAGAATGTAGACTAGATGACTGGCATCATGACATATCAAACTGACAGATCTATGCTGACTTGTAGTGAATAAGGAAATCAGCTATTAGCCAGTTACACAAAATCTCCCCAATCAAGGATGATCTGATGCTGCTGATGCAAGCCCTACCTGGATGCCCCTTCATCAACAGCAGGATCAACCGTTTCTACTGATCACTTACAACCTCAACACAATGGCGCAGTCATCTCACATCCAGTCTAACATACATACATATACTGGTGCAAGCTGCTGACTGCCTTGTCAGTGTCAGGCATAACTAGAATCAAGGCTATTTCTTGCATAATTATAACTGTGATTGATTGTCTAATGATGCAAAACATGCATGCAGTAATTATACAAAGCATAAAGTATAAGTATAAGTATAATAGGAACATACTTGTGACATCTATCGAAATATCCTATACTACTTTCCCTTTGACTGATGAGAGTGTCCAGACTTGTCTGTCCAAATAGGAAGTGGAAACTGAGACACTAGAGTTACTTTCCTGTGTTAATCACTGGAGAAGCCGGAAAAGTACTATTTCTTTGAAGCAAACTTCATTATAATCAGTGTTCTGAATTTTTGCATGATAAACATGCTGACATTTTGTCTCAAATAATTTTGTCTTGCAAATCTCCATTGATGATGATGATGATGATGATGATAATAATGATGATGATGTACAATACCCTTTGCTAAACGATATATAGGATATATATATGTGTCATACACACCAGTGTTTACATCTCAGACACACAAGTATTTATATGTGTCATATGCGGGACGTATTAATAAACATTGTGATATTGCTACAACTTACAATAATACTATATGTCCCTAACAGTAGAGGAGAAAAGTGTGTGTTTTAAACAAGTCCTCCACTCCCATGCAGACTAATCTAAAGCAAACAATGCATAAAGAAAGCATAAGAAGAAAAAAAAGGAAAAAAATTAAAGAGCAAGCAAATGCACAATATAAACTGTTTAAAATAAAATGCATAATATGAAAAATAGAATTACATAATCAAACAGATGGAGTACTCATAACTATTGCTTTAACATTTATCATGGGCTGAGGACAGAAGGCTGCACAGCAGCTGGCAGGTTTGGCTTAACAACATAACACAAGTCAATGTAGTTCCACCGACAACAGTCTACAACAACAGTCTACAGACACCATACAAATGCGAAAACAACAATTTTCATGGAGAGTGTGTGCTTCATCCAAACCACACGTCCTGAAACACAAGTGGGAGAAACCAAAACTGAAATGAATTAGTGGGATGCAGGTCCTAGTGACGGGGAGGAAGGGGCGGGGCTACCTACAGGACACACCCACCTAGCTACAGGACACACCCACCTAGCTACAGGACACACCCACCTAGCTACATCATTCTCAACACATGGGAGGGGGAGACATACAAATTCACTGGCTTTGATGTACATTTGTTTGTTTGGTGTTTTATGATGCTGCATATTCCAGGGTGGGTATACCGGGGTGGTCTGTAAATCAGTGAGTCTGGTGTTTTACTGACATATTACTGGCATATTACAGGCGTAGTACCAGCGTATTACCGACCTATTACCAGTATATTACCAGTCTATTACTGATACATTACTGGTATATAACAGGTGTAATACCGGTGTATTATTGACCTATTACCAGTGTATTACCAGTCTATTACTGATATTTATTACTGGTATATTATAGGTGTAATACCGGTGTATTATTGACCTATTACCAGTGTATTACCAGTCTATTACTGATATTTATTACTGGTATATTATAGGTGTAATACCGGTGTATTATTGACCTATTACCAGTGTATTACCAGTCTATTACTGATATACTACTGGTATATTACAGGTGTAGTTACAGTGTATTACCCACCTATTACCAGTGTATTACCAGTCTATTACTGATATATTACTGGTATATTACAGGTGTAGTACTGGTGTATTACTGACCTATTACCAGTGTATTACCGACCTGTTACCAGTGTATTACCAGTCTATTACTGATATATTACTGGTATATAACAGGTGTAATACCGGTGTAATACAGGTGTATTACTGACCTATTACCAGTCTATTACTGGTATATTATTCTGAGCCACTGGGCACGGGTGGCCCAACCTTCAAGGTGCTGCAATTCCCTGTGCAGACTTGCATCCCTTGGACACACCAGAAACCTATAATTGTGGGTTGAACCCCAGTTCACCCCCATTATGTTTCTAGGTTTGTCAGCACCATACCTGTACTCGTGGGTTTCACCAAAGTGGTAAACGTCTAAGACAAGTATCACTTCAGGCTTTCCTCACACCGTGACATAACTGGAATACTGTCCAAAGCAGTGTTAAACCCAACTCACTCACTCAGTCTGTGTCAAAAACTTTTGAGTCTACTAGCTCAAATCTGTCACTTGACAATAATTACTGTATATAACCGGTATATTACTGGTACACAACTGGCATACCACTGATATATTATTGGTATATCAATGATATATTACTGGTACAGAAAGATTTATTCTGTTTTGTATCCCTCAATATTCATGCCTTGACTACAATCACATGTCTGATTATAATGTCAGATTATTTGCAATACAACACATCAGGGCTCACAGGAGATACTCCCATGTGCCATCCTACAAAGTCGTCAAGATTTGTCCAAAAAGAAGTTTTAATATTAGCAAAAGCAACAAAACCACAATTCCACTATCTCTGCACACATCAAGCAGCACCACGTTATACGGCAACACACAAAAATACAATGACAGACTTTCACGATAACTTTACACATGCTCACCATTCCATATAGATGTTTACAACCAATAATTTTTTTATAATCCTCTTACAATTTGTTTAATAGTAACTGAAAGGTGACAACACTGGGACACATTACCTCATCTTAAGAAAACGTAAACTTTATGGAAAACAACTTCGAGTTTATTCCACTAACCAAAAGTTGTTGTCCAGAAAGTTGTACATTTTCTTGATTACTAACCAATGCCAATGAAACATTTACCTCATCTTGTTTATACAAACACAAAAAAGCCACATGTCTTCAATATGTAGACTGAATTCCAAAACCCTTCTAAAACTAGTTGTCAACAAACACAATGCAATTAAGTTAGTGGTCATTCAATGTTTCAGCAGCAAGCCAGTGTATCTGTGCTGCCTGGGTGCTTGCCTTCCCTCGGTGACCCTCCCCCACACACTACCACCTAGACACAGGGACAACATCGGCGGTGAGGGGCGGCGCCATCAACAACAACCACAACAACACAAGACAGAGGAAGTGAAACAACCGCATTACCTGGACACTCTCAGTTTTGCCCTTAAAGCCGGCGGGGAAACAAAAGAGATAGGTTAGTTCATGTGGTTCATGAGTCATGTCTGGCGATGATGCAGAAGCGTGTCTCAACACAAGAAAAGTCCGAATTTACAAACCTGCGTCCCAAAAAATTCGAAATACAGAGTTTCACCAGATTAGTCTGAACATATTTGTGAATTTGATTTAATGTTATATGCCTCAAATTTGAATCACCAAACACTCATGTTGGGTATTTGACATAAGTCTTCAACAATTGATGACACTATATGTGCATGTTCCGGTTATAACCCAAACTTTTTGTATTTTCAATTATTGTTTTAGGCAAAACTAAAGACTTATGTCACATATTTCCTGCATATGATATAACACAAAAATGTAGGCACCAAAAATAAATCCTGTTAAGAAAAAATAATACAACAGTCCATCAAAAGGGTTTGACAATCTTGTCCCATATGATCTTACTATTCAAATGATATGTTGTCATAAGTACGTAAAGCGGGATCTTGTTATTTCCATCATTTTAATTTACACATCAATCAGCATTATTCTTGTCAGTGGATTAATAATTTAAGCAAAATATAATTTCATGTTTTAAAAAATCATCAGGGATTTTCTAGAGGACGTAAGTTGACAGTGAGTTTCCCTATCATGCAACAACAGACAAATCATAGACAAATGAATATACTTCATATGATGCTATTCATATACATTCAAGTGGAATTTAGGAAACGATGCTTGTACAGTAGTGTATAGAGGTTGGGCAGTATGTTGGTATCCCAGACACAAGACTCGCATATCAGACTGAGGGTGACAGACATCAGGCTCATTCTATGCAAACAATAATTACCTAACGTTCATATTTGATGAATTACAAGGACAAGTATAAAAAAAACCAATTAGACTTGCCAATTCAATAATCTAAGTGTGAAAGCCAGATTTAAAAATATGACAAAATAATATATATTATATATTTCCACAAGCAGATATGAAGTTAAATTTAAGACAAAGCATCTGCATGCATGCTTCTTTTCCCATAATATTTAAGCAGAAAAGTAAAGCAGTAATCCAAAGATTTATAGCAGAAAATTTCACGTTATGACAAAGCCTGTCAGTGTTACAAAGACAGGAATGGTCTGTCCTCAAAGTTGGTGTAAAACCCTGTCACATGACTGTCACATGACTGTCACATGACTGTTAGCTCACCTGCACCAGCTGGACCACGGCCTCCTTGGTGGAGTCCCCCATGGACTGGTTCATGTCCGCTAACCCGCTGTCACTCTGTGAAGGGAGAACAGAAGCTGGTTAATCCAAACAACACCATGTACAGGAACCATGACAGTTAACACATTTCAAGATGATATGGGAGATGAGTTTACAGGACTAATGGAGTCGAGGAATGAGGGAGTGAGTGAGTGAGTTTGGTTTTAATGTCACTTTGGGCAGTTTTCCAGTCATATCACAGCTTGACGTTGACCGAAAGCCCAAAGTGATGCAGGTCTCAGACATTTACCACTTTGGTGAAACAGTTATAGTGCTGACAAACCTAGAAACATAATCAGGGCAAACCGGGATTCAATTTGTCTGTTTGTCTGTTTTTTAACTCTGCACTCTTCAATATTCCAGCTATATGGCGGCGGTCTGTAAATAATCGAGTCTGGACCAGACGATCCAGTGATTGATAACATGAGCATAGATCCACGCAATTGGAATACGATGACATGCATCAACCAAGCCAGTGAGCCTGACCACCCGATCCCGTTAATTGCCTTTTATGGCAAGAATAGGTTGCTGAAGACCTATTCTACCACGGATCTTCACGGGTCAATTTGGAATTCAAACCAACAATCATAAGTTTCCAGCATGGCCAAGGGAATCAACTCTGCACAGAGAATTGAGGTGCCTTAGACAACAGGGCAACCTGTACCCCTAATAACAACAGCAGCTGTACTTGATGCAATACATGACCCCTGACACTCGCCATGTTGACGAGCTGTATTTAGTTAACCTTGGGAATTACACTGAAATAGTGTCTGACAAAAAGCATCGATGCTGCATTCCAAAGTTAGGTACCTCTTTTCACAGCTGTTTGAATACAAATCAATCTCATTAAAATCAGATCTTAGTTCTCGCTACCGCTAAACAAAGATCTGAGGACATCCCATTACAGGTCACGTCAGACCGACCTTCCATCAAACCCATCAGACCGTGGCTTACCAGAACCTGAAAGTGACAGTCGGAATGTGTTTACTAATTATGCAACCTCGAAATATTTAACAGAGGGTATTCCGAACGACAGTTACGGGTTTTACGATTATATCCATACAATCTGGGCCATCTATAAGCCATTCCAGAATGTTGTTTTGGTCAGTTTTAACTTTTGTAATCGAGAATACGTCAAAATATGTTTTGAAGCGCAGGCGCCAGTTTGAAACTAGTGCCATAAAACTCGAGAAAGCTGCCTGCTGATTGGCTAATGTCGATTTCTTGTCAGTCATTTCATAGGTTGGTCAATGTTCGTGAAAGGTCATTCATGTCCTCAGATCTTTGGTCAGCGGTAGCGAAAACTAAGATCTGATTTTAATGAGATTGAATACAAATACACAGAAAGTGCTACCAGTGAGTGAGTGAGTAATTATTGCTTAAAGCCACATCAGCAATCTTGGAACGTTCTACCCAAAAAACATTGTTTGTATCTCCACTGTGGGTTGTTATTGAGTATTTGGTATCCAGACTCGGGATGACTTCACCTCATCCTGATTACACTTATAACACTTGTCATCAGTGATGCAGAAGTCACGTGGAGCCAAATGTGTCGGAGATTTCAGGAGTAGGATCCGATAGTCTGATGAAGAGGAGGAGGGCCTGAAGTAACATCATCCAGGTGGAACACGTGCAATGTACACGGTACACTGCATCAAACTGTGCTTAGAGTTCTAGCAGCATGTACTTGGCTGAGAGTGAATATTGTCAGTGTTTGAGGCGTAACTGAGTCTAGACAAACCAGAGCTAGACAGCACAATCCATGTCATTGGGGTATCATGAAACACATGCACACTGTATCTCATTCCACACACAATCCTAGTGCTACGGCTGTTGTAAGTCAAAGTTAAAGTATGGACTTACAAGTCTTGAATTCTTCAGAATCAAGTTTTTGGCACATACTTCAGTGACCAAACAATATAAGTGTACCGTAAGTGAATGGTATCTTATCTGTATTTCCTCTGCTTATCCAAAATCAAATCCAACGCTGGTTGATCGAACATGCATCAGCCCTCGTAATCAGGGTTACAATTTGAGGAGAGTATTACCTGACATCTCACGATATGATACATATCACGATACCAACAGACCATATCACGATACCGACAGACCATACCACTGGTATCCTGATACTCCCCAACAAATAGTAAAAAATGAAGAAATCCCTGAAATACAAATCTTAAACCTCTGCATACAAGCTTTTTTCTCTTGGAGGACTTTTCAAAATCAAACTGAAGACTAAATGCAGCAGGCGCGTGCACAGTTACCACTACATCCCTTGCTATGCTACCTCTGTCGTTATGCCATTTGTTCCTATTCTATTTATAGCATATCGCAATCTCACAAAATGATGATAAAAGTATCGTCTGTAACTAAGTACCGATGACATCATAGGTATCGGTGAATCGTTACAGCCCTAGTTAAAATGATAAACAATACTGGAATTGTTACTCTCTCCAAATATCATGTGACAAGGGTCACGCTAAAGGACAAAATGGCTACTGTCAAACACATAGTCGAGTGATCAAGATACACACATGTATCATGGTGATATATCGATACGTATAGTCTACATTCCCGTTTACCAGGTGGTCACTGACAGAATGGGAGTCACTCCGTGTGCGGAAGGGGTTGTGTTGCCTCTAGTGTGCCCTGTGCCATGTGACACCAGGTCAGGTTTCAGAACTGTAATATTGATATCCTCTACATGCTGAATTGCAAAATGACACATACTACTGACAGGATGTGTTATTAATTCAAACATTTAAGGAGAGTTAATCCAGCAGCAGGCATATTGATTAGTGTACACAAATTCATACGAAGGTTATAGGGTTAACCATACCAGGGCCCACTTGCACAAAGCGATCTTAGCTCTTAGATGATCGTAACTCCCATACTTTAACATAGGCTTACAATAGTCTTAGCACTAAGATCGCTTTATGCAAGCGGGTCCAGATGCCAACAAAACATACAAACAAGGGGAACAATCACACAGCTAACTCTACGAACTAAACAAGCCGATTAGCATGAGCCAGGCTGCGTGGGAAGGACTGTCCCGATGTCACAGAAGCTGATGGCGGTGGTTCACACACAATGGGCGACCATGCTGCAGTACTAGGCATGCTGGGTAAACCATTACGCACATCATTATCTAGATTCATTTGTGTGTCCCCGCTGTGAGGCAGCAAATCGCCTGCATCTGCTTCATCAGCGTGGCACCATGGGAAGGCGTCTAGAGAATCTTGGGACAGTCCCGGGTTTGAGTCCTCTATTTCTGTGTAGTTGTGGATCTGCTCCACCCATGAGTCACCCATGGCAACGGGGAGTGAGGATGCATCGTGGAACTGAAGCTCGGGCACTCTCGTTCCAAAACCAAACTGGAGGGGCCCAATTAGTGAAAATGAATATTTGTCTCAAGAGCATCTTCATCCCAAGAAATCTTGGTAATGCCAATGAAGGCTACAGATATAGAGATTTACACATGGCTCGGAAACTCACTCGGAAACTAGTCAGTCATTTTTTCGTTCCAAAACTCAAATATTTACATCAATATTACAATACCAAAATACCAAAACAAATTCCAAACCAAAAACATTCCTAAAATGGTTAAAACATTACTTGACACAAAAAAAGTTTATTAATGAATTTACCAAAGTCCAAAATATCCCTCAATAGCCAATAAACCTCTGATTCTTAGCCCAAGATATGAAATGACAGTTAGTACCAACAGGACAACTTGCAAGTTGACATAAGCGCAAGAGCTGGTATATACAGGACTATGTACAGAGTAGCCTCCCCTTGCTCACCTTCCCCGGACTACACTTGAGGATGTTGTCTACATTGTTGGTGTGAGTGGTCTCCCCTGCCGCTCCGTCCAACTGTTCCGCCAACACACGGGCCGCGGGGTGTTTCTTCACGTGTCTGTTGCCAGTCTTCCCTGATGCAGGGGGAGTATTCAAGGACATAAGATCATCCTCACTGGAAAAAAAAATTCATTCATTAGAACCGAGTAACATTCTTCATGCTACTTTTATTCTAACCAGTTGCAGAATTAGAGGACTAGGTTCTGGCAAATTGGCCATCTCAGTAAGTTTGAATCAAGTCTTTCAAACCTGGGTCTAGACCAACCCACAGCTCCTCAAGTGAGATAGTTACCAGTTTTGGGAAGTGGGTGGAGTTAATATAGTACTGGCAATTATCAGAGCAAAGATATTAATATTGCTTATAGTAGTGTATATTTGCCAGCCAACACACAGAAAATAGAGCGTCTTTTGACATCAAAGGCCCTTTGAGGCATCAGTAGGTCTGTAACTATGTTATGTAGGTACTTTTCATTGTTCAATAATTCACAACACCAAGTGAACTGAAGTGCCTGTTCTTTGGACAAAATGTGAATTGGTCCGGAGTGTGTTGTGTGAGGAAATATGTACCTGATACTATGACTCATCTTCAGTAACAATTACAACATCCTAGCACGTCCAGTGATAAACAAAAACATTGCTACTGGAAATATTTAGTCACACTCCCCCAGGACGTCTTCAATCTCCTCTAATCTGACATCACATTTTTACACTATACAGTACATAATCAGATATATAGGATTTCTCTGCAGGGAAAACAACTTCAAATTATTCCCATTTGTGCAAAGTATTAGTGAATGAACCGAGTTTTACTCTGCAATATTCCAGCTGTATCATGTTAGGACATCAGACATGCACCCTCTGTACCCATGCAGAGTTTCCGATGGCTGTCGGTCACCAGTCATTGACCGATAAAATTTTAATTTGACAGACAGTTTGTTTCAGTAGTCGGACTTTTGACAGATAGAAATGCTAAGCAAGTGTCACATGTGTCATAATTTCATAAATTTAAAGTAAATAGTAAGTCCTACTTACAGTATCGAGTAAATATAACACTGCACAGCTATCAAAAGTCATGATTGAAATTGTGAGCAGTGTGTTGTTGCATCATACTTTCTGTATCATAAGGAAACGATGTCAGGAGCTATTATGACTCAGTCATGTGCTTTTCTTCTCTCGAAGTTCAAAGGCCAGATTGTACAAATTCATCCGATCATGAACGGTATTGCATTGATTTGTTATCGCTCATCTTTTTTAACTTTCAGACTTACTGACTATTGCCACTGACTTTTTACATTTCCGGGGTCCGAGTCATTGACCTATACAGGTTTTTGTGTCAAAATCACTACCATGTGGGAAATGAACCCAGTGTTCAGTGAGAGCAGTCAACACTTTAACAACTAGACCACCTGGACAGTTCTTGATCAAATACTATCATATGAGAACAATATTCAAGATAAAAACTTCTACAGGCTTGAAGATACATCTGAGAAGTGGTGTGACATCCTACTATTTTCCCTACAAGTGAGATACTATTCACACAACATGAACATCACACAGCCACTATAACAGACATCTTTCCGTAGAGTTTGAAGCATGTTCCTTGAATTCAGTTCACCACAAAACAGTAGTCCATCTCACATTCCCTGCATCAGATTATTTCCCTTCCACCCAGCTTTTACTGTAATGCTATTGCTTTGAATGAAGCAAGTCTAGATTTTCCACAGGATCATAATCTTCCATCTCAGTCACTGCCCCTTTTCAATTTAAATGTTCTTGTTTCTATAAATATAATATATTTTCAGAGACTAAGGGTTAGTCTGACGTGACAGCATCCCTATGGTTTACCTGATGAGGAGTGTGATGACAGACATAGTGACAAGCCCTGCTGTCGGAGACGATGCCAGTCACTAGGAGCTACTATACCAGTCCTGTAGAGCGGTCGGTCAGTGTGCCGGTGTCTGACCCAGTGACAGTGGTCAGTGACAGGCTGGTCATGTGACACAGCCGGAGCCTGGGGCTTACATAACTCAGTGCTTCATTCAGGCAGTTCATGCAGAAAATGTTAGGTAACTTAGATATTACCAGTCATGGCCTCATGGACACCCAAGAAATATGTTATAATCAGGTGATCTGCTATCTTATGTGCTTTATCTGAAGGTTTCAAATACTGTTTATTTGCCAGTTAAGATTTCCTTAATGAGGAGTGAGTGAGTATGGTTTTACGCCGCTTTTAGCAATATTCCAGCAATATCACGATGGGGGACACCAGAAATGGGCTTCACACAGTGTACCCATGTCGGGAATCGAACCCGGGTCCTCAGCGAGACTTGCGAACGCTTTAACCACTAGACTACCCAACCGCCCCTATTTCCTTAATGAGGAAATAATGTGACTTCAAATCTTAACTTTACTTTAAGCAATACTGAAGCAATTTACAGCACAAACACCAAGAATGGACTTTACAAATGATTATTACCCACAGGGGAATTGAACCGTGGTGAACACATTAACCACTAGGCTACCCGCACACTTCCGAACTATAGAGGGTTACTATTCTGGCATTAGACTAATATTTAGTCTCTGAAAAGAAAAGTAATATATGATTTGGTTAATATTTTATAATATATAATTTTTTACAACAGATAGGTGCCCAGAGATACACTTCTTAAAATGAAGACATCTAGACTTGCTGAAATACTATATACACATTGAAACTGTCTCGATACTTATGTTTCAGGGTCTGAGGCTATTCTGGTATATCAATAAAGGTCAGTGGGCCTGACTAATTGGGCTGGCTTGGCTGTCAGACTTGAGGAGTTAGTGACCAGTCCAGCCTAGCCACCACCCAGTGTTGGCAGTGGACCGTGACAATCTGGACATGACTGAAGGCTGATTACATCGCTAACCTCCATCACAGATATAGCTGGAATATTTCATAACTAACTAATTAGGAAGTTGAACTGATACTGAGACTGTAGACTTGAACCGATGTTCATAAAGAAGTTGAACTGATACAGCGACACTGTTAGCTTGAACTGATGTTCATTGAGAAGTTGAACTGATACAGCGACACTGTTAGCTTGAACTGATGTTCATTGAGAAGGTGACCTGATACAGCGACACTGTTAGTTTGAACTGATGTTCATTAAGAAGGTGACCTGATACAGCGACACTGTTAGCTTGAACTGATGTTCATTGAGAAGTGATCTGATACTGAGACACTGTTAGCTTGAACTGATGTTCATTGAGAAGTGATCTGATACTGAGACACTGTTAGCTTGAACTGACGTTCATTGAGAAGGTGATCTGATACAGCAACACTGCTAGCTTGAACTGATGTTCATAAAGAAGTTGAACTAATACAGCGACACTGTTGGCTAGAACTGATGTTCATTGAGAAGGTGACCTGATACAGCGACACTGTTAGTTTGAACTGATGTTCATTAAGAAGGTGACCTGATACAGCGACACTGTTAGCTTGAACTGATGTTCATTGAGAAGTGATCTGATACTGAGACACTGTTAGCTTGAACTGATGTTCATTGAGAAGTGATCTGATACTGAGACACTGTTAGCTTGAACTGATGTTCATTGAGAAGTGATCTGATACTGAGACACTGTTAGCTTGAACTGATGTTCACTGAGAAGGTGATCTGATACAGCGACACTGTTAGCTTGAACTGATGTTCATTGAGAAGTGATCTGATACAGCGACACTGTTAGCTTGAACTGATGTTCATTGAGAAGTGATCTGATACTGAGACACTGTTAGTTTGAACTGATGTTCATTAAGAAGGTGACCTGATACAGCGACACTGTTAGCTTGAACTGATGTTCATTGAGAAGTGATCTGATACTGAGACACTGTTAGCTTGAACTGATGCTCACTGAGAAGTGATCTGATTCTCAGACACTGTAAACTTGATACTATGATTAATCGTTCATTGGATGGTGACTGTTGCTGGCATTTAAATTATTGAAATAATATTGCATTTCTTTTACATTTCATTTTACCATGACAACAGCCATTATTGTAAGACAACTTCATGGAAAAAACCTTTTACATTCAAAACAAACTAAAAGAGAGAAACAGGTGGTTGAAAATTGTGAAAAATAATTAAAGATGATTGATTTTCCACATTCATCACCATCATCACAACCCAAGCTTATTGCACTTGTTATTTATGACTGCCCAGAGCACTGTGTCAGGGTAGAGGAGAGAACTTGACACCCTGAACTGAGACAAGCATCAAAATTGATTTCTACTCAACACTCAACAGGCTCAATTAATTTTCTCCACAAAAGGCCATTTCAATATTGCCATATTTCTCTATCTGAAGCTGCTTGCTACTAGCAGACTTACGCTAAAATATATAATCTTGATAGAAACTGAGAGCTACATCCAAATTGAAAAGGAGCTCCAGTGAGATGGGATATTCCTGAAAATGCCCAAAATCTAGACTTGCTTTTGTTAGGACTATAGCATTACAGTAAGAGCTGGATGGTAGGGAAAATAATATGGTTGAGGGACTGTGAGACAGACTGAAGCTACACGCTGTGCCAGTGGATGTGACTTCATAGTTCATTCTTTGTCAGTATCTTTCATGTAAATAAGACTGCCTCTGTGGTCTAGTGGTAGAGCGTACGCCCTGAGAGCAGTCCAAGGTCTGGGGTTCGATCCCCGGCCACATCATACCAAAAGACATTAAAAGATGGTACATGTTGTCACCTCCCTGGTGCTTGGCATTAAGGTGCTAAATTAATGTGTGGTTGGCTCGGAGTCAGTATACTGTGTCTGAAAGGGGTATTCACGTCAAACTGCAGCATGGTATCTCAGTGGGCTGGCACTATAAAATTGGCATTAGTCCAGACTATTACAAGCAGTCACACACACACATCAGTATATAAGTCGCACATCAGTATATAAGTACAATAGTCTTGGACTCGACGTTAAGCCCCATTTCACCTCACCTCATGTAGATAACAAGAATTAAATTAGCAAAAATAGCAAATTATATCTGTGTTGTCATGATAGTGTTCAACATAAAGGAGAACCACAGGGATCCTTAAATTTTGCTCCCTTAATCTTATTAGAATCAAGTGACTCCCTCAATT